AAGGTTTTAATCGATTAAAATTTTATTTCAATCGATTAAAATCATTAACAAGAACATTTTAATCGATTCTGTCCTGTTTTTAATCGATTTTTATTCTGGAAAGAAAAATTAAAGGCTTTAGTTAATGGCTGTTCTTGTAACATGCTACTAAAGCGTGATTCCCTTATCTTTACACGTGTTAATTGTATTCATTACAAACGTGTTAATGAAGATAAGTTTGAATCAACTTTGATTGATCTTCACATGAGTAAAATATCGTATTTCTAATTTTTTCTATTTCTACAAATCCTTTCAATACATACCTATGCATTGCTTCTCTTTTATTCCCTATTTTTTTTTATGAAGTCAAAAGGGGGAGAAATAGTTGCTTTTACTTTTGATAAAGTTAAAGGGAGAAATAACTCTTTATTTAGGGGGAGCAACAATTTAGGGGGAGAAATAGGAAGATAATTCATTTTTGATTACTCACTAATCTGTATTATCAAGTGACTTCTTTTGCAGAGTTTTGTTTTCAAAAGTGGTGTTTGTCTTCATCAAATAGGGGGAGACTGAAAGTGATGAAGATCTTATTGAAATACATTGGCAAAGATCTCATTGATTTGATGAAGTCAAAAGTCAATTTTGCAGCGGTCAACAAGTCACTTTGATAAAAGAGTAGAAAGATTAGTGTGTCTACAAAATGCTTAAGTAAAATCATTTTATCTTTTCTGCTGCATGAGGTTTCTTCACTTAAATGACTTTGCAAAATGCCTCTAAAATCATTTTAAACAATCAAAAACAAAGTATTTTGACAAAAGTTTTCTCAAACATGTTTTTAACTAATATAGTTTTGAAAGAACCGATTAAAATCATTTAGAATGTTCAAAGAAGTGTTTTTACAGTATTTTAATCGATACAACTTGATTTTAATCGATTAAATCCATTTAGAACTCATTATGATCGATCAGACTTGAATTATGAGCGATCAGAATTTTTTCAATCGATTAAAACACGTTTCAATCGATTAAAATCACTTAAAGGTTCAGGATGATCAATCAGAATGCAATTATGACCGATCAGAATCAGTTATGATCGATCAGAATTGAGTTATGACCGATCAGAACTCTTTCAATCGATTAAAACACGTTTTAACCGATTAAAACAACTTGGAAAAATTATGTACGAGTTTTAATAGATTAAAACCTATTTTTATCGATTAAAATAACTTGAAAAGTTTTACAAGAAAGTTTTGCGAGTATTTAAATTGATTGAATCGCGAAACAATCGATTAAATAAAATTAGAAGATTTTCTCGTAAAGTGTTTTAACTATTATAAACGTTGTCGTATCGGTTAAAACAAATCTGTTAAAGAATCAAGAACGTATTAATGGATTAAAAGGACTTTTAATAGATTGAAACGACTCTTTTAACAGATTAAACGGATATTTTAACAGATTAATTAATGCAGGAGTTTTGAAAATATTCTATAAAATCGAGTTGCTTGGAACTTTTTAGACATAAGTTTTCACACATCCTTAAGCAATCAATCAAGCAACTTTAGCACTCTTTTCAAGAAAGATTCGCGCAGTTTTTGAGAAGTTCTTTAAAAATCTTTCTTGAGGCATATTGCTTTTCTTTAAAGAAGAAACTCACCTGCAGAATAGCATAAACTGGTTTGAGCTTTCTAGTTTCTTCTTTTTCAATTCTTTACATTCTTTTTGTATTGTTTGGTGCCTGGAATTTGGGCACTTGGTTTCTTCTGCAGTTGGAATTTGGTTGTAGAGGTTATCAAGAAGCTGGAATTTGGTTCTTGGTGAAAGGTTAGGTGTTGGTGCCTGGAATTTGGGCACTTGGTTTCTCTGCTAGTTGGAATTTGGTTGTAGAGGTTATCAAGAAGCTGGAATTTGGTTCTTGGTGAGAGGTTGAGTGCGGAAGCTGAAATTTGGTTCTTGTGATAGATTAAGTGTAAGATTGTTGAATCTGTAAAACATTTAATCTAGTGGAACCCAGTTGGAATTTGGTTGGAGACTTGGACGTAGCCCTGGTATTGGGTGAACCAGGTATAAAATACTAGGTGATATCTTTCTTAACGTTTCTCTCCTTTAAATTCTATTCGTTGCATTATTTTGATTGATTGCTTTGTGATTCAAGAACAGATCTTTAAACTTAATTTTCGAATTAGATAATCTGTTATTTGCGAAAAACTTTCAAAGATCAATTCACCCCCTCTTGATCTAAAACTACTTTTCTAACATATATAATACAAAATATATTATCAAATTAATTTATTTTATATATATATATATATATATATATTAATAAAATAATATTACTTTCATTTTATTTTAAAAATAATTATTATTTTATAAAATGGGTCAATACATACACCTACATATTAGTCTAGTCTAAGCTTATTTAGGTCATGACCTAAATAGATCGAGTAAAAATTGGTATGATTCTATTTAGATTATAAATTTGTTAGCTTAGTATGTCTTATTTTTCAGACTAACTCAGACTAAACATATTTTGACAACGTATGATTAAACTTTATTTGTTTTCCTCAGTGAAAAATAACCTATGGTTAAACTTTATTCTTTCCCTCCCATCATTTATAGATAGAAGGTACGAGTGACAAATATAAAATCATAATTTTTTTACAATTATATAAAATGAAAAAATTCAAATAAGATCTTAAGATTTTCACATATGATAAAGGAAGGGAGAAAAAAAATGTATATATTTCTTGCTGATATAGATTCTTTAAGTGTTCTCTACTTTTGTAAATTAATTAAATAAAATTGAGATAAGAACAAAATTTCATTCTTATCTTCTCCTTCTACGTTTTCTATTTTTGATAAAAAGATAAAAAAAATATTTTTTAAATAGGAAGGGAATCTTGTCTTATGTTTGTGGATATTTAACCTCTTTTAAAATTATTATTATCATCAAATAATAATTAAAAAATATATTTTTAATTTATTTATTTACCATTTAACCTTTTAATTATTTATTTATTTATTTATTAATTTTTCTTTTAAAGACATAAAACTTACAACAGAAACCTAATGGATAAAATACGTCGAGATATTATGAATATATGAAGTTATTTATATCATAGATTTCATTATCAAAGCAAATTTAGCTGAGGGTTCATGCAATGTGTTGTTGGATGATTAAACATTTGAGACAAAGAATGTGCGCTACGTGACGTTTCGTCCTATATCGAAATGACAGGTGCTTATGCTTATGTATGCACCCAAAGATAAGTCTTATTATTTGTGCTCACCACTTTGGAATGAAACACAAGATCTTTCTTTTTTTCAGTGGCCACTTCATAAGCCAAAAAGCTAACCTAGATGAACAAATTTCAGGTGAAGCATTTCGTTTTCAATGCTTTTTTTATATGATTTTGCACCGAAATTCTCCATTTTTTACCTATTTTCTATGTGTATTGGTTTATGTTTTGGCCTTAATAAATCAAAATTATATGGAACAATATCTTATAAAAACTTAACTATAACATGTCAATTTAAAAAAAAAAGTTTAAGTCTAATATATTAACAATGAAAAATATAAAATATCTTATGGAATATTACTGTATGTAATATTTTCTAACTTAGCTAATGATGTTAAATTTAATTCCAAAGATGTAGATTTGTTAAATACTAAAAAAGAATATGATTAATATTGGTACTATCTAATTTGAGCATAAATATCTATAGTAAAAAAAAGTATATCATTCAATGTAAAAATAATAAATTGTAAGTGAAAACTATGAGAACTGACTACAAAAACAAAAATGTGAATGAAAAAATAGGACTAATTAAAAAAAAAGTAAAAGCTCAATCAAATATGCTGAAACTATAAATATCTTCTTTTTTTCAAATTTCAACGTGGAGTTAAATAATTGTTTTCCTTTTCTTTATATATATTGAAGGGTCGTTAAACATGATTCATCCTTCTTTATCAAATTGACTAATTTTCTGTCTTTATTAACTTTTGAATATATTTTTTTTGGAAAAATATTCTTAAGTTAGAATTGTTATTTAGAACACCTGAAGTTACTATCAATTGATGAAAGAATTATATAATAAATAAATTCTTAGTCATTTATTTATTCTAATTCCAATCGTTCATTTATTAGTTGTATTTAGTTTTATAAATCACTTTTCCAAACATTAAATCTTAATAATGTTTAGCATTAAAAAAATGTTTATTTTCTTATTTTCCTTTCAATTTTTATTATACTTTAATATATGCAAAAATAAAATGTAAGAAAGATGATAATAAATAATTAACATTAAAAAGAACAATCTGTGAAAAAGACTTTAAATATAATAAAAAAGGAAAGTTTAAGAGGTCTATTTATATCTATAAAAAACATAATTTAAGGATCAACTAATGTAAAATTTAACGAAAAAAATTATTTTTAAAAATTAAAAATTAATTGAAATGAAATTAAAGTTGATTGTGTCTATTCGAACAACAAAAAGTAAAACTTAAGAGACACACTACATATTTTTTTTTCTAAATTATATTCTTAAATTACTTATAATAATGATAAAAACATGAAATACAAAAAAAAGTAAAACTTAAGAGACACACTACATATTTTTTTTTCTAAATTATATTCTTAAATTACTTATAATAATGATAAAAACATGAAATACAAAGAATGATAAAAAACTTGTTTTTTAAGAAAAGATTCTTAAAACTTAAAAAAAAAGTTTTTTTAATATATGGACACAAGTAAATCTTGATACCCTAGTCTTAAGAATAAAATAACGATTTCCCTAAAAAGAAGATTAAAATGAATTTTCCTTAAAAAAACAGAGATAAAAGGGCGAAGAATATGGTTGTATAGGAGGAACGCATGCAGATTTTGCGTTTGTGTGGAGTTTGTCAGAAACAAACAGATTCGGAAAGAGAGGGAGCCGTAGAATCCAAAGCCTTCTACTCTCTCTGTCACTCTCTCACTCTCACACACACATTGCATCCATTTCTCTCTCTCACTACGATTCATGAGTCGCTACGATTCCAATCCCTTCGATGAAGAGGTCGAGGTTAATCCCTTTGCGGTTAGTATTCATTTCCCTAACCTCCTTTCATTCGCTTTTCCACTGCCTAATTCATTGTTCGCAACCACTCTTCGCCATACCTAGATCCGTTTCCGTTACACCAGATCGTTCGTGAATTCAACGCCGTATGTCTTTGGTGAATTTTCGGTTGCGTAATTACTAATTACTGGGCCACGGACCTATCTAGAGAGAGTGCAAGAGTGGAATGGATAAGATCTTGGTCATGCAAAGTATTGGATCGTGAATTTTGATTAGTTTTAGTTTTAACCGTTCGTTTTAATTTTACGATTTGGTTGCTTGGACCTGTCTTAAGTCTGAACGACTTGATTTTTTTTTTTTCTTTTGAACGTGATTAACGCTGTTAAATTGATTTGGGGATTTGAGAGATCGAACCGTCGGAACAGTTGTTCGTCTCGAGATAATTTTTTTAACTGGCTAAATAATGTAGTTGATTTACAAATATGCCTGCTTATGAGAAACTGTATCGTTTTCCTGTTTGTTAGTGGCTTCTCCGTTGAAAAAATTCCATCTATTGCTTTTTTTTTTTTTTTAACTTTACTGTTATCTCTGTTATCTTTCAAAATAAAACACACAGTCTTGACATGTATTTTTTATGATATTATATATCTTTGTGGCAGAAGAAACCAAATATACCAGGCCAACATTGATATAAAAGGGGACGTTCTAACTATGAAAAAATTAACGTACCCTGATGCCGTGAAAACTCTTTGCTGTAAGAAGATATTGGAAGAATCCTTGTACACCTGCTTTCTCTTGCATTAGAGAAGAGGCTATTTTCTGGTTCAAACGTAATTGATTAGTCACAAAGGGCAAATATACTGCTGCGTCCAGGCTTGCCCTCACAACTTACTAAGAAAAATCACGAGTCTAGCTAAGAAAAAAAATTCTACCAATTACGCTAGTAGTTTTCCCTAGCACAAGATAAAGGATATATAAATCTCTTGATATCCAGAAAGGCTAAAATCATGTTTGGACTGATTCTGTCTTCTTGGGAGGAAACATGCTGTTATTAAGTATGAAATAGGGTGAAGTTTGATTTATCAGTCATTTCCTTTGGAAGACAGGGAGTTCCTCAATGAGTTAAGAGGAGACTGACTTCTCATAATTTTTCTCTGTATTATTGTTGATTTCTTTAGTGATTAATAAATGAAATATGTTCTTCTAAAATGCCATGATTGTTGCCTTTGTTGATTGGTTATCGCAGAAGTGCAAACATATGTTGAGTTCTTTTAGTCTAGGTTATTTGATTATTTATTTTAGAACTGAAATATTTTTCCTTTTCATTATTAATATTAGGATGGACAAGCTAAAGGAAAAGGGTCAGGGCAATCAAGTTATGGCGGAGGTGCATTTTATACCACTGTAAGTTTTAATTTTCCTCTGAAGGTGACTGATGCGTTAAAATACACTATTTTAAAAAATAATATTTTAACAAATAAAGGAATCAATCTTTGTTCATTTTTTATATATATTCTGTGTTTTAATTGTGCAACAGTGCAAGGGCGATAACTGTTACTAGTCTTACTTTCTGGAAATTGTTGTATTAAAGTTTTGATTCCTGTAGTATCTTCCCCTTTCTAATTGATCTAGAGATTTATGCATAATACATGCTGGGTTGGGAGGGACCAACTGGTAGTTTGGTACACTTTTAATGTTATTCTGGATGAAATGCGTTTGTATGAGTTCTCTGAGATTGTAGTTTTTATTTTAGTAATAGCACATATTATGTTTTGATATCTGTAGTATTTTCTCCTTTGTAATTATTCTAGAGATTTATATATACTTGATGGGTTGGGACCAATTGGTAGTTGAGTATACTTGTAATATTACTCTGGATTAAATGGCTTTGTACGATTTCTGAGGTTGTGCTTTTTATTAGAGTATTGGCACATGTTGGCAACAATTGATTTGCATTGTTGAGTTACTGAAGATGATTTCTGGTTGTAGATTAAGAAAAAAGTTAGAATGGACTCTTCGTTTTCCCTTGTAGAGTTGGTCAAATTTAGTTTTGGCAGCACAAGACTTCTGTAATGAGGCTCTTTCGTTGTCTACAATGTTTTTCAAGGGTTGATGTTTTTTTGTTCAAAACAATAATGGCATTAATTCTCAAAAAAAGTTTTATGGGGTATGATAATAGGATCTAGTTTCATATGCAGGGGAAAGTGATATTCAGCTTCACTTGGTTAGCTGTCTGTCAAGACGTCTCTTCCCTTTAAGTTGGGGAAACTAAGATATGAAACTTTTGAGATCTCAGTATAAAACTTCAAGATGAATTTGTTACATGTAAAGTTTACATACTAGAGGCTAAGAAGCAATGTTTACCTAGTTTCCTGGGAAGGCTGTCTTAAAGGGTTCTTGGTTGGCCTAGGCTTTCTCCCTGTTTTGATTGCAAATTTTGTTGGTCATACTAGTCTAAGCCAAATGGTCAAGAGCTAAATTTTTTGGACTGACTTACTAATATAATGTTATGGTGTTTTTTTGTTGTCACGAAATTGGGATCCAGTTTGTGGTAGTACACTGCTATTATATCATATTTTTCTCTTTGTATTTGTTTGTTTCTTTTTCTTTGGCATTTGGTGGGATTACTTAATTTAGATTGCGTGCTGTACTATCATATGATGTTTTTTTTTTTCAGCAAATTGTCAACAGGATGATTTGATGTCCTTTTTATTCCTACTGTCCCCTAGGATCATTTCCTAAAATTTCTGTGTTTCCTTTTAAAGATATAATATAAAAAGGAAGGAGAATAAAATTCTTGCATATTAACTTACTGCATTTTTTTTTAATTTGCAGAACTCTGGAAGTGTTCCCTCTGCAAATTCAAAGCTCTCACCCCTTCCTCCGGAGCCTTATGATCGTGGGGCAACTATTGACATCCCCCTTGGTAGCTCAAAGGTGGGCTGGTTATGAAAATGTTGATATATATCAAAACTTTCTGCCTCAATGTTGTTGTTGAGCAAAGATTTAATTTTGTATTTCTCTCTAGGACGTCAAAGCAAAGGAGAAGGAACTTCAAGCTAGAGAGGCTGACTTGAGAAGAAGGGAACAGGTGATTCATTTTGTTATCTCTTCTGATTTCTTTAGAACCAAGGACACAACTTACTTTATTATATTGTTATATTATGTACATGCAAATAAATTATAATGAATCTATAGACTCTAAGTTAGCATCAAGGACTTGATTGGTAGCAAGGGTCAGCTTTTCAATTAAGTTATCTGTGGCCATTTTTTCTTATTTAATGTCTGTAAACTTTCTGTTGAGAATATTGTTCAGTACATTAGTTAAAGTCATGATTTCTGATTTTGAATGCCACGTTTGTGTACTTTAACCTTGCTATGTATTTAACTTGGCCATTATGCTGTAATATCATTTGCTGTAATCTGGAAATTGATTATCTTAGGATGTTTCGTAGGAACTAAAACGAAGGGAAGATGCCGTAGCACGAGGTATTTTGGTTCATTCTTCTTGTAGAAATCAGTTAGTGTGATGTCTATATTTTGCTGTTCAACTTTTGTTTTTTTTCATTTGCAGCTGGAATAGTTATAGAGGAAAAAAATTGGCCACCTTTTTTTCCCATCATTCATCATGACATTGGAAAGGAAATACCAATACATCTTCAAAGGATCCAATACATTGCATTTTCAACATGGTTGGGTATGTTCAGCTCCAGAACTGTCTCCTAGAATATGTTAAGTCGCATAACTAGCTACTCACTTGATGATATGTAATATACATCTAGTTAAAACATGTATAGGCATATAGCTAATGCAATCAATTGCATCAAATAAATAATCACACAAATTATGAAATTTTTAAACATCCATTGTCTGTTTCATTGATGGACATTTCAAGAGATTAATATGGTTGAAATTTCAACATATTTAATACTGATAGGAGTTTCACTTTAGTAGATTTTATCCGCTCAAAGCACTATTGTTTTGTGTGTATATTTTGTTTCTTTTCATTAATCTGTCAGTTTTTTTAACTCTATTTATAATTTGTTCCAATCAATTACAACAAAATTAAAGACCTTTTTTAAAACTCGTGGGTAATGTTGCAATAATATATAATAAATAAAGTACAAGATAAAGGTTGTGTCTACTAACACTTTTCATTTCTTTCTCTTTTATTGGATAGGGAGATGTGTTCTTCCATTTTCCCTTGTTCAATCTATAAAAACTGGAAAGTGTCCCTCCACCATATCACTTGAAACGTATAGCATTTGTTATTTAATTAAGATAATATCTCTTAATATCATTATGCTGTATTTGGATATTTTAGTGTATCTTAGATCATCTCTTAGTAATGGTTTCCATAGGTTTCATAGTTTGTTTATTATTTAAATAGGATTAGGTAGTATTAGTATAATCCAGTGTGAATATCTTGTGTCTGGCATCTTGGATCACATCTAATCAATGTCAACTATATCTCATAATTTCAACATTAACTTGTTCTCTGTTTTCCTCCTCTAGCTTAAATCATAGTTTATACTTAATTACTGCACTTGGCTTAGTTTTTCAACTTTGTAATATCTGCAGGTTTGGTTTTGTGTCTTGTATGGAATATTGTGGCAGTTACCACTGCTTGGATCAAAGGAGAAGGTTTGTCGTGCAACTGGATATTGGTGCATCATTCTTGTTAACTCATGCTTAATTTATAGACTTGTCTCTCCATGTAGGTCCAACAATCTGGTTTCTTGCAATTATCTATTTTATATCTGGTGCTCCAGGATCCTATGTGTTGTGGTATCGCCCTCTTTATCGGGCTATGAGGTAGTGTTCAATTAAATTTCATGCAATGTTTGTGGGTTAACATACGGATGTCTGTTCAAGTAGATGTGCAGTCTATTAGTTAAACTAAAAATAAAGATTTACAAGATATCTATGAAGCTAAACTACAGCTCAATTATGAGTTTTTTTTACTGCTAGAACAGTGTGTATACCTTGATAATGTGTGGGAAGAATGCGAGCCTTTGGAAGACAATACTGTCATTGTGAAGATTGAAAAGCTCCATGCACCCAAAAGTTTACCTTCAGAAATAGGTTCATCAGATTTTATTATTTGTAAGGGGACACCAAAAGAAGAGGGGAACTGAGATGGATGTTGGAGGCAGGTGGTGTCTGTTGATGAGCATATAACCACCTTATTAGAAATCACATTAAAAAAGCATGGATATGCAAATGCTTTTATAGCAATATTTATTTATGAATATGAATAATTCTATTATTATTGATTTTTTTGTTTTTGTTTTGAATTGATCTATCTGTTCTATAATTGTGTGCCATCTTGTGTTACAGGACTGACAGTGCTCTGAAATTTGGCTGGTTTTTCTTGGTTTATGTGGCAAGTTCTATGTATTTTCCTTCTGTTGACACTATCTCTGTGCTAATTTTGTGAAGTGCTCATTTTTCCGCTTTTCTTCAAACAGATTCACATTGCCTTCTGCATTTTCGCTGCAGTTGCTCCACCAATTATCTTCAAAGGAAAATCTCTGACGTGAGTGTCCTTCTAATTTTGCATTTTCGGGATATATTTTCAAACTGATATTCATCAGTGACTAGTCTTTTACTGATTTGATCTTTTGGAAGCAAGGAAAACACTGAGGATGACTTAAGCGTCCAATTATCGAGTATATTAATTTCTCGTCTGGGGTTTCATCCATATACTACTTTCATCCATAAACTATGTAACTGGAGGGGAATAAGTTGAGGCAATATACCCTATATAATTATTACTTTTATATCTGCTGAGCATAATGATAATGACTATCTCTTAATCATCGATTTTTTATGCCAAGTACATCTGTTATCTTATTCGACTTTTACTCAAACTAATGGTTGCATTTTATGATATGGACAGTGGTATTTTGGCTGCGATTGACGTGTTGGGTGACAATGCATTGGTTGGGGTACGTTTCATATGTGTATACTTTTTGGATTCTATAATAATGTCCTAGCTTCATGGATAATGTAATACTTGGATATGATTAGGATCTGTTTGGACAAGCTTCTCCAAAAGTATTTTTAGTAAGAACAAAATAAAAAGACAATTGAAGAAAACCTGTTTCCATTAATTAAAATTAGTTTATACATGACTTTTAAAATAAGAATTTAAAGAAATTATATATGCAAGCTTCTATAAATTAGCTATTGTCTAAGAAGATTTTAATTTACGAAGAAGTCATTTAATTTTTTCCTAATTTTCTATCCTATGGAGAATCGAAATATGACTGGATTCTCTAATAGAATTCACATGGAAATGATGTTTACTTGTGGTGAATTGCAGATATTCTACTTTATTGGGTTTGGACTTTTCTGCCTTGAGTCAGTGTTGAGCATTTGGGTTATACAGGTTTTTATCATATAATCACTTACTCCAACATGGTATGCGCTTGAAGTTACTTGTGCGTATTTATTTGTTTGACTATTTGATTTTATAATTGCATTGCAGCAAGTATATATGTACTTCCGCGGCAGTGGCAAGGCTGAAGTTTTGAAGCGTGATGCTGCGAGAGGGACAATGATGGCAGCCCTATAACATGGCACTTGCAGATGTTTTCCCAATGCTTATACCAGAAAAAGTTATTTCTTAAGTTACCATATCCTTACAGACTTTTTGCGCTTTCTTTAATACTCGTTTGATTTTTCTAGGATTTTGGGCTAGGTTTGAGTCAAATCAGATAATTGAGATAGCAGAAGCTTAGTTGTGCATATATAGAAAACATTGTTTGAGATAGCACCTTTACAAATTATTTATTTCACTATTTTTTCTATTTTTATTAACAAAATACTCAATCTATTCGATTGCGTTTGTAGTTTTGTTCGCTTCACTACCCAAAGAAACAATATAAAAAAAGTCATCTAATACGAATATAAACTTAAATTTCGATTTACAGTTCGTTTTGTAAAAAAAAGAATAATAACTTCATTTAGTTTTTTATCTGATTGTTTTAACTTTTCAAAATAATCAGAAGCTAAAATGAATTATAAACTAATTAAAATCGGAAGATATTTTGAATAACTTTCCCTACAATTAGCTGTTTTCTTTTAATGGATTTTTTTTTAATGTTTGCATTGGAGTTTACATTTTTAATACCTTAAATAAATGTTATTATTTATTTTACATATTTAAAATCATTTTTAATTTCTGCAATTTTTAGATTTAATCTTTAAAAAAATATTTGTTTTTTATCATTTAAAAAAAGTTCTTAACTTTTTATTCAAAATAAAAGTAATAAATAATGGATAAGTATATGTAAAATAATTTCATATTTCATCACTATTTGTGAATTTATAAATAAAATAAAGAACATCTGTTATGTTTGTTTATTTGGCAAAAATATAAAATTATATTTAAATTGAATAATATTTTTTGAAAATATAAATATATTTTTTATTATCATAGAAAATTTATATTGTGATATAATTTTTAATAATTGATAACATTTAAAAAATATTATTAAAATCAAATTTTTAAGTAAAAATAAATATAATATATTAATAAAATAAAATGTTACGAAAATTTTCCAAAACACTATATCATTAAATAAAAACTCTAACAAATTATATTAAAAAATAATTTCCAATTTTTTTATGAATAATAATAAAAACAGTAATAATAAAAAAAATTATAACCTTCTAAATACTATAAATATATTATACATATAATTTTTTTAAATAAAAATCAACAAAAAAAACTTTATTAGTGAGATCTAACAACTACATCATTCATTCTCGGATAAATATATTATCATCAACACAAGCAACAGTATAAATATAAAGTGAGTAAGTTAATAATTCAATTTTAATCCCAGTAATTATACATTTCAAAAACACTTGTATGCATACAATATTCAACAATCACTGGGTCACATTATCATCTCAAATGTTTATGCTCACATTATACTACACATATTCATTATTAAATTAGCATAAACACTTAACAACTTCCAACAAAATTAAACACTAAATTCAATCCTCATACATCATACCATAATAATAAAGCAATACACCTCTAACACCTAATATACTAGAACATATTTTTCACAAAACACAATTTTAAATTATCAGGTTCTACATACATATATTCACCTCTCAATTACATATTATATCCAAATGCAAGTTAAGAAATTACATTAATTTTATATAAATAAACTTTTTAGGAATTTATTCCTTTTATTAGGATCTAATCAGGACCAATTATTTGTTTTAAGCAAAAATCTTTTACAATTTGACATTTTTTTCTTTTTTCGATTCAGCGACTATTAAATTTAGTGATAAAATCAGAAATTTTAGATAAGAGGTCCAACGTATAAACATTAATCATCGTGTAAAAATAAATATAATACATATTTATATTATTAATTAAATTTAAATTTTAAAAAATAAAATTTATTTTATCTATCCACTTTTACTTTTAAAAATTGAGTCCATAATTTTATTTTTAGATGTTCACATTTTAACATAAAAAATATTATAAATCATACTAATTAATTTATAATAAATAAATAAAATTATATCAATATTTCATATTTTTATATTACACTAGTTAATTTGTTATAATCAAAAAATAAAAATAATAAAGAAAATAACTTTGTTTACTAATTTTTATTTTGAAAAAATTATTATAAGATATTTCCTATATTTTTTTCCTTATGCTTTCTTGAACAAAAGACAAAAAAAACTATGAAAATTTTTATGCTAGATGAAATCATAAAAAAATATATAATTTTTATATTACCAGATGAAATCGTAATAAGAAAGAATATAAAAATAAATGAGTGATAAAAATAAAATATAAAAATATGAAAAGATAAAATTGGTATCTAATAAAAAAAAGTTGAAATCCAATAATGAAAATAAGAGAAAGAAATTATATAAAAAAATAATATGATATTTATTATAAATAAAAATTAAAAAAATTATTTATATTTATAAAATATTTTTATTCAATATATATATATATAAAACTTGCTCTGTGATCGGAGCCGAGCCCCAATCCCCTCTGATTATCTGTTTGAGCAAAAACACAATAAAGTCAACTTCATCTGATTTGAATATTTTTGCTTGAACAATTTTTTTTGTTTGAACTAGAATGAATTTGATACTACCTTTTCAGAGTTTCGTCACTCAAATAAAAATCTTTCAGCTCAACTGAAAATTACACAATAATAGGTTATGTAGAAAATTGAAACATCTACTTTAACATATAACTCATTTCAAAACATTCATGTAATGATCTTCACCCCAAATAAGATGTATTATATTAACTTAATTACATTATCGTAGCAATTCATTCAAACACACATAATTCACCAAATACATACTTAAACAAAATAGATAAAATTTATAAACTTTTTCCAATTTTCACCAAATCTTGCAAAAATTATCCTAATAACCATATCACTCTACCACATTAACTCTTTCTAGCCTATAATGCTATAAAAATTGAAAATAGAGTTTCTTTTATCTTTCAATTTTAATATTTCTCAAAGTTCCAAGAAATCAAATCCTGCTGGTAGAAAATTTAAATCAACCAATTAAACATAGAAATGTATCCATAGACTAACCGAGATTATTTTTGTCCAAGAAATTACAAATGGAATAATTCTGAACCCATACACCATACATAGCTCACATGCAAAATATGTTAGAAAAACAATCAAGTGAATTTTACTCTACGTCTACTTTTGGACAAAAATTATTTACTACATCAAAAGCGCTAAAACATGTTTTTTATCTTAAAAAAAAAAAGAGAAGAGTGATAAAATTTAGAAAAAAGACAAAAGAAAAAATGTTTGAAAAAATAATTATTTTTATACAAATAAAGTCTGAATAATTAATTTTTTTATTTAAAATATTTTTAACTCAATCATTAAAATATCAAAATTGACCTCCTTAACTTATATTTTTAGATTTAAATTAAATTTGATCCTTATCATATTTATAATGTAAAAATATATTTTTAAAACTATAAAATGCTATTTACTTAATTTTTTTAATATATATATATATATATATATATATATATATATATATTATTACTTACAAGATTATCTCATATTATTATTATTATTTTCATTCAGTTCACTTTAAACTAAATAAGATAAGGAACAATTTTTTTTTTTCTATTCTTCTAGATGAATGGAATTTGGAACCATCATTAAGATTATAATATAATACCAAACTCAAATATTACTTTTATATATATATATATATATATATATATATATATATATATATATATATATATATATATATATATATTCTTACAATTTTCTAAAACTACATAGTTTTCAAGTCTAATATTGTAAAATAAGTTTGATTCTTACCGAAAAAATAATTTTATTGAACATAAAAATTAGATAACTCATATCTCCTCCCATTAAAATGAAATTTAATGTTAAATCTAAAAAGACTAGTTTGATCTTTACCATGAGCAGTGATACTTCTTAAGTTTATAGAATGTGAAATTATAATAAAAAAAATAAAACTTATCCTAACTTTTATATTTATATCATCTCACTATTAATTGTTGACAAATTTATGGTCATGTATATATATGATACATAATTTAAATGTGTTAGGATAATTATGTATTAAGCCAAATAATAAAGTGATCTCACTAAATTAAAATTTTGGCTAAAGGCATATGTTATGAAAAAAAAAAATTGTGTAGAGACCATAGAGCAATTTCTAATTTGATGATGGGTCAAATTAGAAATACTAAAACATAAGTAATTAACCTAATTCTGATTATTTTAAAGCATCATGGTCCCCTTCTGGGAGCACGTAGACAGTACATAAGTATCAGTCTCGTTCCTTTCTTTTTATCCCCATCAAGAGAAAAAATCAAGAGGGAAATACATGTTCTCTTTAGGTGGAAGACCATAAAATCACTATAGTATTTTACAAGGATATCATCATTATGGCTAATTCAGATACGCTTTCGCATTCAGTTTACAATATGTTTATCAGTATGGGATTACATTTATGTTTGATAGTTATAATCAAAATCAAGATTATAATTATTAGTTTTCCAACAATTGGTATCAGAGCCACCCATACTTGATTCATGTTTGTCTTAGGAAATATTTAAAAAAATTCAGATTCTGTTTTATTTATAAAATCTCAATTACCGTGAACCCTAAAATTTAAATTTGAGGGTAGCATCCCCAATCTGATTCTACTCGCTGATGGAACCGTGGAGGAAGCTATGGATTCTTCTTTTTCGTTTTTCCCTTTTGTTTCAGTTTAAGTTTCAAGTTTTACTGAGAAAGAAATAGTGTTTCAAATTTCAATCTTTCTTGTATTGGATTTTCTGGGTTTTGTTTTCGTTTTCTTTTTATGGCGGATATGGATGGGTTTGGAATTGAGGGTGATGTTTGGGGAGTTCACAACACAGAGGATCTTAGGCAACTGATGAATGTTTCCACATGTGTGACTGTTATTATTTTATTGTCTTTATCCTCTAGGGATTTAAGGAAAGTTGATGTTAAATTCCCTGTTTAGGGTTTGAGTGATTACTGTTTAATCCCCTTTTAGGGTTTAGAGCAGTGTGTTAAAGAGGATCATATCTATCTCTATTTCATCCCTAGTGTGATTTTAGGGAGATGTTCATCCTTTATGTATTGGGGGGAAAATGAGGTGTTTTTCATCCTTTAATTTGTTCAAATGAGATGTTCATCTTTAGTAGAATTCTAATGAGGTGATTATCTTTTAAATTAGTTTGCAAATATTAAATATTTAGTTTTGTTATATAAATAAAATATTCAATTTTTGGTAGTTTAATATTTTTTGTGAGCAAATTGAGTCAAGAAGTTACCAAAGTAACCTCTCTTGAATTGGGAAGTTCATGAAAAATATTGAATGTTAGTGTTTGTGTATATTCATGCGAGTATTAATCAGCCCAAAGGAAAATTAATATTTGGCCGAATTGCATACACACTTGTAATGATAAACATGTGATAATTATAAGGATTTGCTTTGTCGATGATAAATCAATCCAAAAACTGGTTTGTTGTTGGACGTGTTTTATTGTCAATGTTTGATTATTACAACAAGATACCTCTAGCAGTTAATATTACTGTCCAAAGACTTGATATTGATGGTGCATTGGGTGTCTTGAGATAGGTTAAACCATTATTTGATATATATTTATAATTATTTATTTTTGTATAATGTGAGCATAATTAGTTTATTTCTCATGTTCTAAATTCAGCTGCAATTGCTTCTGTATCCGCCAATTTAAATTTTGTTCCAATCCTCAAAAGTATGTTTCCTACTTTGGTATGTTCTGAAGTCAATTTAGCGTCAGTATCTAGTAACACTTGGTGGTTAGACTCAGGTGCAACTACTAACATCAATGTTTCTATGAAGGGTTGTCTAAGCTACCGAAAACCAATTGATTCTAAAAAAAATGGATATATGTTGGAGATGACAAATCGGTAGAGGTAGAAGCTATAAGGCATTTTAAATTGTTATTGAGTACTGGTTTTTATTTGGATTTGAAAGACATTTTTGTTGTGCTGTCATTTAGACAGAATTTGGTTTCAGTTTCTTATTTAGACAAATTAGGTTATTTGTGTTCATTTGGAAACAATAAGTTTAATTTGTCTTTTAATTCAGATATTGTTGGAACTGATTCACTTTTGGCTTATGATAATCAGTATTTACTTGATATTGTGGTCACCTATAATGAAACCCTTAATACAGAATTACGTGGTACTAACTGTAAAATTGAAAATACTCACTTAGGTGTATTATGGCACAAGTGCTCAGGTCACAATCGAATTGTGGCGCTTGGGCTTGTGTTACACTCTTAAAGATATGATAAGGAGTATGATTTGTCATTGCACCTTACCGAAATCACTATGGGGAGAGACACTAAAAACGATAACTTATATTTTAAATAGAGTACCAATCAAAGCAGCTACCAAAATACCTTATGAGCTTTGGACTGGACAACAGCCTAGTCTGAAGCATTTTCATGTGTGGGTTATCCAGTTGAGGCAAATGAAAAGAAATTGGACTCCCGAATAGTAAGTAGTTATTTTATTGGTTATGCTGAAAGATCCAGGGGATATAAATTTTATGATCCCACATTAAAGACAATTTTTTGAGATGGGAACTGCTACGTTCTTTGAGGATATTGAGTTTGGGGGGAAGAATAAGATTAAGAACTTTATCTTGGAGGAAGAATTGGTAACAATTTCAGAACTGATTCAAATACTTACTTTTGATAAAGTAAGTTCGGAACCTCCACAAGGCATTGTTAATGAACCCCTTACTCAAGATAATTTGGTTGCTCATGAAGAACAAACTCAAGATCCTCAAGAACTTGTGCATCATGAGCCAATAACTTTGCGGAGATCCACTAGAGAAAGAAGAAGTGCTATTTCGGATGATTATATGGTATTTCTTCAGGAACATGAGGAAAATAATGATATAATGGAAGATGACCCAGTTAACTTCCGTCAAGCTATGCAAGGTTCTAACTCTCAAAAGTGGATTGAAGCAATGAAGGAGGAGTATAAGTCCATGCAAGACAATAAGGTTTGGGAACTTGTCTCATTACAAGAAGGTATGAAACTCATTGGTTGCAAGTGGATATTTAAGACCAAACAGAATTCTAAAGGTAATGTGGAAAGGTATAAGGCTCGTTTGGTAGCTAAGGGCTATATCCAAAAGGAAGAGATTGACTTTAAAGTCTCTTTCTCTCCAGTTTCATCAAAATACTCTTTTAGGACAATCATGATTCTTGTAGCACATTATGATTTGGAGCTTCATCAAACGGATGTCAAGACGGCGTTTCTCAATGACAACATTGATAAGACAATTTATAACCAGAAAATGTTCTGCAGGGAGATCCAAAGAATATGGTTTGCAAACTGACAAAATTCATTTATAGACTAAAATAAGCATCTCGTCAATGGTACTACAAATTTCAGATGATTGTGTGTATCATCTGGCTTCGAGATGAATATTGTTGATGATTGTGTGTATCACAAGTTTAAAAAGGGACAAGTTTAGTCTCAATCAGTGCCCAAATGGAGAATTTGAAAATTGAGAAAATGTAAAAGTTTGTCTATGCATCAGCTGTAGGAATTTTGATATATGCCCAAGTATGTACACGTCCAGACATAGCATACATAGTTGGGATTCTAGGCAGATATTTAAGTAATCCAGGAATGGACTATTGGAAAATAGCAAAAAGAGTCATAAGATATTTAAAGAGAATAAAATATTATATGCTCACATACAGGAGGTCAGACCAGTTGAAGATCGTTGGATCTTCTGACTCAATCTTTATAAGATGTCAAGATAGTTTAAAATCCACTTCCTTTCACTTTTTTTACCTCAATAGACTTGTTTACTGTGCAAGGTCAAAATTCAATTCCTATAAAACCAAATTCCAAATGAAAATGTACACATCAAAACAAAAGTCATTTTCAGGGAATCAAAGTCTGAATGCGTTTTTTTTTTTAGCAGTTTATATTTATATATTTAAAAAAAAAAATATATATATATATATATATATATTTATATGTATATTTATATATGATATAATTTAATATTATTATATGTAAATATATTAAATATTTGTATGTTTGTATAATATATATATATATATATATATTATATTTACAAATATATATTATTATATGATAAATAAATATTATTATTTAAAATTATATTTACATATATAAATATTTAATTATATAAATATATTCATATGTTAATATTTAACTATATAATTATATATATATAAGCATATAAATATTTAAAATATATTAAATTGTTATCATATATAAATATAATAATATTTAATTATATCATATATAAATATATATATTAAATATATAAATATAAGCTAAAAAAAGAAAAATAAAAAATAAAACACAGTTGAGAATTAGATTATCCAATTATGATTCTAGGGCGGTATATTTCCATTCAAAATTCGGTTTTCGAAATTGAAATCTGGTCTTGCAGATAGGTTTAGGTAAATAAAAATGAGAGAGAGTCTATTTTTGTAAATAATTATTTTTTCAATATTGTTTCAGAAAAAAAAACTCAACTTCATCTACTTTTCTTACTTATTATTTTTTCATGTCACTTTTTTTTCTCATCTTTTTGATATAATAAATATTTTTTTATATAATAAAAATAATATTGTTCAATATATCTTATTTTTGTTTGATAAAAAAGATAATATTGTTTGATAAAAAAGATAATTATATTTTATTTGATAATTATATTTTATTTGATAAAAAAGATAATATTGTTCAATATATAAAAATATTTTTATATAATATTATAAACATAGGGAGAAGTTGTTTTATACAGTAGAAGATGTATTTTGTTGTGCATATATAAGTAACTTATAAAAATAATAATTAGAAAAATAAAAAAGATGTAAGATTTGAACGTGGAAGATAGAAGTGTTTAGTGGTGCAGTAAAACCTAAATTTAGTTAGGATCTATTTTTTATTTTTTTTAACTTACTATTTTTTTTAATCTATTTTTTTTTCATGAAAAATAACAAATATTTTGATAAATTTCTATTTAATTTTGAAAGAAAAAAGAAAACACATTAAAAATAAAATATCAACCTTAACATTAAAAGGGGCATAGATGTAAATATATCAAGTAGTTTAGAATTCAATTATCATATTTTAAATTACATTAATTAATATATTTGTAGACAAATTTTTAAATATTTAATTTATATTAAGAGTCGATTTTAATTCATAACTGATTGAGTTCACTTTTAACTTTTATGTTAAAGAAATTAATCTAAATTTGATATTAACTTACTTTACAAAAGGAACATTCAAACAAAAATTACATGACTTCAAAACTAATTTTAGAAAATAATTTTATTCATAAACAATTTAACCAACACTTACTCAAACAAATACTTGATCATAGCAAAATTACGTCTCTTAAAATAACGGTAAAAGATTCATTTTTCTTTTATATGGTAGAAGATAAAAATAGAGTAAAGAGGAAAACAAATTCAAAAAATGAAAAAACAAAAAACAGAATGTTTTGATAAGTAAAATAAAATAGAAATAATATAAAAAAATTAAAATCACTTTTTTATTTTCCGTTTGCTTTTATCTATTTGTATTAACTTATTTATCTCTTCCATATTTTTCTCCTTTTAATTTTTTAATATATTTTATTCACCTTTGTACAGAAATATTATATAAAGATCTGTTTTTAACTTTATCTTTTATAATATTTTTTATAAAGGTAAATAATTTATATATATTCTTTTTCTTTCCCACAATGGTTTCATCCAGTACAAAAACCCCTGGCGCCTAGGGTTTAAGCGACGACATCACTCAAGATCCTCCCTTCGAATACAAATCTACCCGCTTTCGATTTCGTGCCGACAGTAGATTACAATGGCTTCACAACACGAAAATGGGTTGAATGTTTACCCGATTCCTATTGGGGTGGAGACAACAATGGCTTCACAACAAGAAAACGGGTTGAGTGTTTGCCGGATTCCTATTGGGGTCGAGACAACAGTGGCTTCGCAACACGAAAACAGGTCTACGGACCCGAGTCCAATTGGGATGGAGACCCAGGAAGCAGAGACAGAAAAGTTTTCGACTTTGGGTTGTGCTGTACCTATTGAGGAAGCTGTCGAGAAGATCAATTTGTTGGGTTCCCCTCTTTCAATTGAGGAGAACAGTGATAAGGATGATAGCGGAAGTGATAGTGATACTAAAAGTGGAAGTGAAAATTCAGGGTCTGAGAGATCTGATTCTGGTAGTGGAAGCAGTAGTAGTAGCGGCTGTAGCAGTAGCGATAACGAAGAGGAAGAAGAGGAAGGTGATGATGATGACGACAAGGGAGAAGTTGAAGAAGGCGAGATAAGTAGTTCTGATGAAGAAAAGATGGTTAGTTGGAGCATGGTTGATGATGATGTTGATCATGATGATGAAGATGGTGATGCAGGAGTTGGACCCATCAGGTCAAAGAACGAGCTTCAGGTATTCTTTAATTTATTCTATTTATGTTGCTAATTTGATTGCTTTATTGGAATTAACTTTTAAAGGACATGTGTCAACTGTGAGGATGTAGAGTCTTGTGTGTTATGCTTTTGTTTATGGTAATTGATACACACAGACATAAATCTCGTGTGGTGGGTTTGGATCCATTCATTTCACTCCTAAGATGTGTATTTTAGTTTGGTTTATCTGGGATAATATTTTGTTCCAGTTTTTTGTCCCAAAGAGGATAGTTTGGTTTGAGATTTTTTTTTTCAATGTTTCCTGTTTTATGGGGTATACACAGTAAATATTGAAAATGGAAATAAGAATTCGCTGTTTTCTCTATTTGCTGTATAAACTTCTGAAAATAAGAAACTAAGTGAAAACAGAAACCTTCTGTCAAACCAAAGAGGACGAAATTTAACTCTTTACATTGGAGTTTTACTAGGAATTTTGAATTAGAATTCAAGAAAACTTGACAATCTCTTGATGTTTAATACAATACACACGGGGTGAAGAAAGACAGTAAGTGGAAATAGTCTTAATAACTTGATGATGCCCGGGATCATTGCTAAATGCAATTTTATTTTGCTTTTGGGTACTCTTTTGAATGGTGTTGTCAACTTATGCAGAATCTGCCTGTTGTTCCTCCTGTCAATGCGGCTTTAGAACCACACCATGAAATGTTGCCAGTTGGAATTGTTACTTCGGTAAGGCTACGTAGCCCTATCTCTATTAAAAATAGGAATCCATTATTGATTTCAAATTTAGCTTCTTTAGTTGCTTAATTAAGTGTGCGTGTAGGTAGTAATATTGCTAGAGGAATAGAATAGAAAGGTTGTCGAATAGTGTTGGAATCAACTAAATTAGGTTTCTCATTTTTCAGATTCTTGGTGCTCAAGTCATTGTGGAAGGAGTGAAGAAGCATGACCCTCTTAATGAGGGTTCTATTCTTTGGTTGACTGAAAGCCGAAAACCACTAGGTTTAATTGATGAAATCTTTGGACCAGTCAAGAACCCTTATTATATTGTGAGATACAATTCTGACAGTGAAGTTCCTGCAGGGATCAATGGGGGAACCTTGATCTCGTTTGTTCCAGAATTTGCTGATCATGTGCTTAATAACCAGGATCTTTATAAGAAAGGGTACGATGCATCTGGTGCGAATGATGAAGAGGTGTCTGATGAAATGGAGTTTTCAGATGATGAGAAAGAGGCTGAATACAAGAGAATGCAAAGAACGACAAAAAGAGGTGTAAATGATCAAAACCATGGCAAGAAGAAAAACAACAGAAAGAAATTTTCACCTAAAGAGCATCATGCGGCACCTACCATCCCTGCTGCTCCTGCTGCACCATTGCTTACTCATGGAAATTGTCCTCCTTTTCCAGGCACTGGACAAGCACTTTTGGGGGGAACTGCCACAGTTCAATCATTTCTCCCCTTAAATTCAGCGCCTAACTTTGCTACAAATGGAATTTGGACAAACGGAACATTTCCACAGCAGCCTCAGACTGGGTTGCTTCCTAATGGTTTTCCTACAAATGGCATATCATGGTACCCACAAAACACTCAAATTCGTCCTCAGCTGCCAATGCCAGGAATCCCATTTCAACAGCAATTACATGCCAATCAGGGTTCTCTTTCCACAAATATGCTAACTGGGATGCAGCCCAATATGTTTGCTCAATACATATATGCTACAGGGCTTGTTGGTCAAAACCAAATGCCATATGGGATGGGGTCACCCTTCCCTCAGATTCAGCCACCTGCACAACAGGGATTTCCATCCCCTGGATTTCATTCAGAAAGAAGCCTTAATTTGCATTCTAATACCACTTCTGGCACCCCCCCTCAATTTCATCCACGCCCATCTGGTAATCGTGGTAGAAAAACATTTCGTGGTGCAGGTAGGAAAAGGTGGCGACCAGCCAGGTGAATTACTGAGTTGGGCCATTTTGCAAGGAATGTACTACATGTGTAAATTTCCTGTAAGCCTCTCTTGAAATTTTGAAACTAATTTGGCGAGTTCTTGAAGAAGTCGAGTTCCTAATCTTAAATTAAAGGCATCATTTGTGGTTGAATCCATGGATGCTGATTATCTTGTTTTGTTTCCTGAGTTGAGTGAAGTAGCCCCACTTCCAGTGCGCTGAATCATGCCAATGTATGTTATTTAACCCATCTAATTGAAAGTCCATTTTTTTTTTCCAACCACTGTTAGAAACTCCCTCTTTAAAAATCTTTTGTAATAATTAGAAACGATTTCTCTATCTGCAGAGAGAAGTGAATTTTAGCATCTCTATTGTACTTCATTAAACTCTATAATTAGTTAACATTTATTAATAATATTTTTTTTCTTATTTAACGGGTCTTTCCATTGATTTTATGATTTCTTAACTTCAACTAAGAGTATAATGTTTATCAGAAAAAAATCAAGTTAAAAAGATATTGCTAACTCTTTTTATGCAAAAAATTATTAAATATCAAAATGCTTAAAACATAATGTTAAGAATAAATGGAAAATGTTTCCACGCCATCCCCATTTCTTCTTTTTGTAATCTAAAAGGTCTTTTGTCCTCCTTTTAACAACAAACCTTAAAGCACATTTTTCATGCCTAAATCATTTTATGATCCTAGAGAGCTGGAATGAGTTGAGGTTACGCAATAGTTTTTTGTTTTCTAAAAGTGGATCTTAATCCTTCAATTTAAATTTTCAAATCTAATTATCATTGAAATATCTTTTGTATGTTATCACAACGCCAAATTATATTTTTATTGACAAAGTATTTATTTGTTTATTTTATAATTAAGAACTAATTTAAAACTTTAATACATCTAACAGATCAAGTGAAGCATTCTCACAACTGAAAAGCAGCAGAAATGTTTATAGTCTGCATATCATTTACAGGCAAAAAAACATAAAGCGTGCCCTTGGTTGTCAAGGCTAAAAAAGACAATGAAAAAATCTTTTAAAAAAGAAAACGGAATAATGAACCAGGCCTTACAGGTGTAGAAAAACATTGAAACTGAAACCACTTACTTTCCTTTCGAATCATTATTGTTGAAGAACATGTGGCTCATACACAAAGAAAGCACGCTCATATCCAACCCTCCAAAGGCAATATTGAGGACTAAAAAAGAACGCATCGACGAGGAGGCAATAATTGTCGAAAACACGGACCTGGTCGGGTACTATATTATTATGGCTAGGTCACCATCCATTGCATATCAAATCAGCACTCTGCAACTGCTTTTTTAACATTTGTTTCTATCATATGATAATATATATAATAAACAAAGGAGAGAGAGATAGAGAGAAAGAGAGAGAAGTAGAAACGTTGTGGAAATAAATTGCTGAGATTGAAATTTATGATCCAGTCACATTGAGAACAAGGAATGGTGAACTCTGTTAGACTGGTAATGTGCAATTAGGAAATTAAATTAAACATATTCTTCTTATAGGGAGGCATAAATAGGTCACATGAACAAGTAAGAAAATAGCTGAATATGAAGGAGTCAAGCTTTGGCATTGTTTGTGAAGTCAGCACAAGTCTGGCAGCTGCAATCTGAAAAGCGGCAGCTATCACAGCCAAAGCACACACAAGAAGTGCAACCTTTGCATGTTGGAGAACGAGTGCATCCCCTGTAAACCCTACGACTTGCTCTTTCCTCTTCATCATCACATGCAATTCTGAAAATTTGTTACCATTATTAACTACTTCAAAATGTACTTCAGTAATAAAACTAGAGATAGTTTCAGTAATAACAAGCATGCAAGAACATAGGATATAACATAAAACCATTCATGTACTTCAGTAATTTTACCAAAATGCTTTCAGATAATTATTTGTAATAGATAAGAATATAAGATACCCATCAGCACCTTGTCCTTTTCCTCCAAAGTGGAGGCTCCAATCTATCCATTTTCATTGGTTTCGAATCTCAATCAAAGTATCTTTTATTATTAAATAAAAGGGTGGTGGATCAGTCAGAAGAGGGTGTGGGGGAAAGGAGAAAATGGACATATGCACTGGTAACTGGAAATACCATGTAATGGCTGATCAAAGTGATGGTATATATTTAAGTCAACAAATAATATAATTCTAGAAGCTATCTAGTTTCAAATATAACAAAGAACTGTGTCTGTTGAGACAAATGGAGCTATATATCCTGCAGAGGTCATAATAGTCTAAGCAGTAAGTAGCATCAGCAGAGGTAGATGGAAGATGAACATGTTGTCAAAACAGTTCTAAAAAACTATATCATAATTTTGGGGCTAGATATCACTTGGCGTTAGGTTTGAGCAACAAATTTTGTTTTCCTTTTCTATTTTTACTTTTAATTACAAAAGTGTCACATTGTTTGTACTTTGTTTTCTGTTTTCAGAAATTCAAATACGAAATAATAAAAAATCTTATTTTATTTCTTCTATGATCTGAAAACAGAAAACAAGTACAATTAGGTAAGTATTCAAAATGAAATAAATATTTTCTCAATCCAAAAGGTCATACGGTTATGAATAGTTCCATTCTAAATTCACGAGAAAAGAAAATCATGGGAACAATAAGACCCATACAACCTAAATCTCATGAACGACACTAAGACCTATTTTTCTACTACATTTCCCTAAGTAAATCGTGTCCATATTGTCCCAGGAGATAGTCTTCTTTTAAATAATTGCCAAAATGTGATTTTTTGCTAAACAAAGCTATTCAATCTACAAGAAGCAACGGATAACTTCACAATTTAGAAAACTTTAAATAATCATTAATCATTCTATTTCAATCCATCAATCATAATTGTAGGCTCTTCTGTCATACACTACAAATGCACGCATCATCCCCTTGATAAGAACTTGTCAAATGCCAGCTTCAGTATATTTTTGTCACTCTTCCATTTTTTAATCTCTGTATAAATCATTAAATCCAGAATGCACAGCTTCTGGACAAATTCAAATATTGGTACTTAGGTAACCACAGATGACACATAAGTTTCAAATAACTCATGAACACAGACAACCCAAATACATAAAAATCAGAAAACAAGTTTCAGAAATCTCTTTATTTATCACTAGACATGCTACCAAACATTCCTTAGAACCAGGCATGGTTAAGCTCTCCCAGATTGACACATGCATGATAGTATCACCAAGACTGTATACTATAACTTGCGTAGCACTCTGCAATTTAGCAAGTATTGGCTACTACAGCTTCAAATCATACTCGAGATTAAGAAAAGATTAAAGCTATTTGTTCAGCTTGGAAAGTGGTCATATAATTTCCAACAATATAACAAATTATAAATAGAGCGTGAAAGAAAGCCTGCAAAGCATGATGAATTTATTATAACAAGTCACCAACATTAAAAAGATGACTTGCTCGTTTATATTTTAATTCTCAGTTAAAGTGTACTAAATATAAGAGGTAGAAAACATACTTGTCATATGGAAGATCAGAACATTTCCAATTTGCATCTGCCAAAGCATCATGGTGAATGCGGCATTCCTCTTTAGTCCTCAGACGAAACCTACGCTCTTTGTTGCACCTAGAGCAGCGAACAAACTCATCTCGGTGACAAGCCCGGCCATTTTGGGATCTATGGGAGCCATTTGCAGTTTTTGACACCTGATTGTAGTATTTGAGCAGAACTGTTTTACACAGTGGAACCTTCTCACCATTAATAATTACCCAGACATTATTCTTCCATTTCCTGGCAGTCTCTCTTCCAGAGTGTTTCTCAAATGCAGAAGGAGTCAACTTGTCTATCAATGAAACAACGTTAATGCATAAAAAAGGTCATTAGGGAGAAAAACACTATCATTAAAAAAAATATGCAACACCAAATAGCTTGCAAAGTCTAGCATAAAAACCAGAAAAGGACTTTCTTTTTCAAGAACTAGACTGTTAAAGCTTACTTTCCCCTCTCAACTCCATCAGAGGGCTCATGAAATCCTTTTTTTTATTTATTTATGAGTGAATTTTCAGAATTCGTATCCGCACTTAACCATGTGATTTCTTCCCTAAATGTTGATTTGAGGGTGCTTTCAAGTTCAAATCATATTGGCCTGATTTTACATTACTCTATGAATAATCATTTTCTTAAGTCGGTATTTCATGTATATTTTGTAGAAACGATTACTTAAATATATCCCATGCTGCATGGCAAACAAGATTTTCAAAGTAACGGTCACTAATAATTGTTTTTCTTTATATCAGTTAATTATCATGCATCAGCAGAGGTGTTAGTCCTTCTCCCTTGACAGATACTATACAAGTGTTACTTGTATATACATCATTGTGGAAGCAAAATAGCGCAGACATTTAATACATGAAACAAATACAACTTGACACGGCATACGCATAGTGATTGAAAGAATTAGATTCTATTTTCTGTCTCTGCCGAAGGAACTCGTTCTCCTCAGTACCCAACAATTAAAAACTATTCAAGTGGAACGGATGGTCCATGCCAAATACAAATTGCAATCAATCACATTCACGCATAACATAAGAGTATATGCTATCAAGGACAAGAACCAAACTCATGAGCAAAACTCATTACATATTATAGACAAATAATAATACCATAGGATCACAGAAACAGTCTACTCTGCCAAACAGACTTCGATCACTTTCAACAAACATGGAGTAACGATATAACATATGGTTACGCCATGTTATTATATACAAACAACAAAAAGGTCTCCATAAAGAAACAAGACACGTTTAAAGTAACAAAAAGACACGGTGTGGTTTGAAAATATTCCACGATTGCACACAACAAAAACAAACACCCTCCAAGCCCGATCGTGTGGTATACCAAACCAACGAGTTCAGTGAGACAAATCAACATACAGTTCAACTGTATGAACGCACCATCAAAAACTCACACCCCGAAGCAGATCAAAACAACCCCATAATGACACCCATCAACGTCAAAAAAACTTACCTCAACACAAACTTCAAACATGCACAGCACACAAACACTCACACAAAACAAAATGAAACAAGACTAAACAAAAACCAAAACCCTCATCTTTGGAGAGAGGAAGAGACCTTCTTGACAACCTGGGGTGCATTCACAAGTGATTTCAAGGTACCCAGTTACGAAAACCCTAAGCCTTCCAACAGCGTCACCATATCTATGGCTCGTGCAACCGCACATGACTTCGACATAGTCCCCAAGACGCTTCACCCCACACACCTCTCTCAGCTCCTCCTCGCTGAATATCGTCGACCCACTTTCTCTCTCTAACCCGTTCGCCATTTTCCCCTCAAAAGACTCTGTTTTTGCCCAGAAAACGATGTGGGCGTAAAATCGAATACCAAGGGCAACGCGATGCCGAAGACGACCCAACACCACGTTAAGCCTTGAGATCTGACACTGAAACGTTGAAATGTTTGAGAAGAGAGAGATAGGAAGAGAGAGAGTGTGAGGGGTTGGTGATGGGGTTGAATGAATAAATGAATGAGCTGGCGTAGCGAAACAAATATTGTGAGTGAGGTGAAGGGGTTAAAGGCTTTAGGGTGCTACTTGCAATGCATGATATGATATGACATGAGATGAGGGAGGATAGGATATATAGAGAGATAGAGAGAGAAAATAAAAGTTTATAGGGAAATCCTCTCATGAAACCAGACTAGGTTTTTGATATTCGTGTGATAGTGTGTGTTTTTCTTTTATTTCTTTATTTTAACTGAAACGAGTTTTTAGGGACCAGTTTTCCAATACTATGATCTTGCATTAAATAATGGAACGAATTTAGAGAGAAAGAGGACATTTTTTTTATTGAAAAGGAGACCAAACAAAATATATAGTGGGATTTTTCCGTTTTGGAATGAGAATTTGATTCTCTTCTGCATAAACTGCAATTCGTTTTACGACATCATAGGTCTGAGTTAATTTTACGAGCTTTTCAAATGGTAACCACAACAAGCAAAGGTTTAGTTTAAAGTTCTTTCTTTTAATGTAATGTTATGTAACACAGAAGTATAGAACTATAATGTTAAACTGCTGATATTATTATTTGTACTAATGTGATCCTGTGTATATTTCCATGTTTATGGTGACAAGGAGATTTTACGTTCCAACCTTCAATAGACATTATATCATATGCATTATTCAGAATTTAAACCCTCTATATGTTTCTTAGTCATACTCTTTATATAATTAATAAGATTTTACTTAGTGATCATATATACAACGGCCAAGAATAAATAAAAGGACCAGTTTATACCAAAGACGGTGACTACATTAACTCGTATGCATTGAACACGAAAGCAATTGTAATCTTTTTCCATTTTGTTATGATTACTACAATTACATCAGACGTTACTCCAGCCACAACCACCATGGTGATAATATATGGTACATACGTTAAAACTTGTAACAAGAAAAGGTGATGAGGAGGAGAATTGACTCTATATCTATCCCCTTATATGGCAGAAGACTTTCTGAATCCCAACAGCACAGTTAATGTGTGAAAACTTCATTCAAGGCAAAATTGGTAAAGTCTTTATTTTAGAACTTGATACAGACACACTGAATAAAGTTCTCAACTCTTTACCGGGACTAAATCAAAATGGCTTCATAGTTGATCAAAGGAACATAACTTTCTCTTAATCAGGTACGGCGTTAAAATCTCCCCCAGAAAAAAAAAATATTGTGTTTATTATTCACAACAATATAAATATATATATATATATATATATATATATATATATATATATATATATATTAGTTGCTGCAAACTGTCAGGACTAATGCTTTTAAAGCTCTGAATTTGTTTTAGTTGCCATTTCTTATGGTGGCAGCTTTCATGTGCCTAAATTCTATTGTAGGAGTCCAATAACAAATTTTTGTTCTATTATTCCTTAAAATCTACATCATTGTAGTAGAATGGTTTTAAAAAAGGTCTGCCACAGTTATTTTAGCCACAATAATATCAAGAGTTTTAGAGTTTCCATAACACAATAATAATACTATTACAATTTAGATAGTGTCAACTATATTTGTCTATAATTTTCCAGTATCAAAGAAGCAACAAAATTGTAATTTAAAACTGGTAGCCAACACAGGTGGTTATAAACTCGTGGTTGCATTTTTAAAGACTCAAGCATGTTACCATTTATAATTTCTTAAAACGCACACCAGTGTCCACTAGTTTCCCCAACCCAATGCACATCATGACCCGAAGTACCAAGAAACCAATGAACATTCATACATGACATGCTGATATTGCCGTTTAACTTCTTAAGTGAGGCAACAACCACCACCACAACTTTGCGCCGCAACTTAGGCAGACAAATTGCAAATACTAGGTGGCTGGTCAGGTCTCCTACCACTCTACTAGCTAATCCAATACATGTCTGTTCTGCAACTAAAAGTGTAGGCAAAGTGTGCCACTCTATAGATTTGATTCTTGAGAATATTTAGCGATTACAGAAGCCGTTGATTAAGAAATCTATGTCTGGTCCAGCAGTTATTATTTCACTCTTCATATTTTGACTCAACTCAACCACGAAAGATTTTTGCTCCGCCTTGTGTATGTGTATGCATATTTGTACTTCTAACCTCTTCATTATAATCATGGGCATCTTGCATTAAAGTCTCAAAAGTCCCACTTAGCTCGCCACAATTACTGGGTCATGGTTTATATTCGTGTAGATTAATTTGGAATGATTAGTTTTATCATTGCATCTAACATGATATTGTAAAATAGTTTTTACTTAATAGACTATTTGTGTATTGGCTTGTGGAGGAAAATCTCCATTATTTTTACTATGTCAATTGTTTTATTTTTCTGTCCCCATCCACAAAGTGATTGATCAGAGTTGAGATTACAGAGGGACATCTTTATCTTCGAAAGGAACTATTGTGCACTTTGATTTTTAGTCTCAATTACACTACTTAGCTAGTTGATTGGGGCCCCCAGATAGGGCAGGGGGGACGCATGAACTTGTGTTGGTGCCCGAAGCTGCTATAATAAAATCATGATTTTACCAAAGTGCACAAGATATGTATTGATTCCATTGTCTCATCTTCTATAATGGGATGTGGAACAGGCCATAATAGGAAAGAAAAATGCAAAAAGGTATATATATATTTTACCTTGACTCATTTTTTTATCATGGACCATATAGGGAAAGAAAAGGTGAAATAGGTGTTTTTACTGTGGCATGCAATCGTGGCTAAGGCATATTTGAAGCCACCAAACTGATCTAGTGCTTCCTCTTTTGCCTTCAAACAGTTGAGTCCACAAACCCAACTCCTATCCCAACAAGTGCACTGAGTGAGTGTAGTAGATAATCTCCAAGATGACCTTTTACAAGTTATGAGAGTCCAAAACCATTATTATTACTATATGTGCTTTGTATTTTTCAACGACAAAGTACTGATTATAATGATGGCAGACTTTCCCACTTTAATGATCACAGTGTTAGGACTGTGTATGAGAGTGGCTCCATGAGGAGTACTTTTGCAACATCACATGAGAGATTCCATTGGCCACTGCCCGTGGCTCATCTATCACACACACTGTGTGGAGTGGAACCAATCTGGATTTATACACACCTAGGATTCTCCACCTTCATAAGCTTCACAGCTTCGTGTCCACTTTTTAACGCATCCCCACGTGCAACTCTTGTGCCATTCCACACATAACAAAAATCAATTGCAGTTCAAAAACATATAACACAACATTATACAAAATGTGATGCTCTATTAGTTAATATAAGAAACATTTCCTTTTTATAAAGGGTAATGCATTTTTATTTACGAATATCTCTCGTAAAATTTTAAAAACTAACTCACTTGGCACGAGAGAAGAAAAAGTAGGGAGGTGACAAAATAAAATAAAAATGAAGTGAAAAAAAAAATTGCTTAATTGAAAAAAACTAAATAATTAAATGATCTAGTTGGGAAAGAAAGAAAATAAATAAAATTAAAACATATATTAATGTTAAGTTAAAGTGTGTTTTTTCCCCTCATTACTACTTATCATAGAAATCCTGCTATTTCACGTTGTAAATAACTCACATTTTGCTTAATACATCTTTGTCCATCCCTTCTTTAGTATTTTGTTTGTACCACGTAGATTCTTAGCATTATTTCTCTTCAATTTTCCACCTATCTACCCATGATTAAGGTGAACAAAAAAGAATAAATATGATAAATGAGATAAGATAATAATAATAAAAACTAACAAGTTTCAAATGTAGCTGTAAATATGATGTCGACATCACTGTTGAAATGAAACAGGAACATTTTTCCAATGGTTCAACTCGAACACGTAAAGAAAAGATTTTCCTAAGAAAAACTGTAAGGTCGCCACCATTCACCAATCTAGTATTTTGACATGATTGTTTTTTAAACCCTCCCACGGAATCCAATGAAAATTTTGGCATCTGAAATAAGTTAATTAGATGGATAGTAGCTACTGGAAGCAATGGCCTTAGGCATTCACAGTGAAAAGGATGCAAATCTTAGTAACGCAGTTTGAAAAGAAAAATAGTTATCTTATATCTGGTTAAAGTTTCAACAATATTGGTTTTTTTTCTTGTAATTTGTATTTCAAATTATAGCAAATAAGTTCAAATCAAATAGTGTGGTTAGACGCCACGTATGGTGGGTACCTAATGTAAGGGCCGTGACCTATGGCAACTACCTCCTGCCGAAAGGACACCCTAAATAGCTGGTCCTAAAATATGTATCACCGTCAATTTCTTAGGCTCCTATTCTCTCACTTCGTACAATTTCATATAATAATAAGGCCAGAATGAGGATCCAAATTCCATGAACTTGTTTTCCCCTTTCACAAATTAATCTTAGGTTGATGTTTGAAATCATTATGTTTTTTGCTTGCATTTTCTCCCCCACTTCAGCTTCATTTTTTCTTCTCATGCTCATCATATTATTAGAATAGAAATTACATTTTTCTTAACATAATCACATTAATTTTGTTGAAATCTTTGGTGAAATAAAATTAAGAAATAATCAAATTACATTATAATATATAAATAAGATGTATATAATTTTTACCTTCTCATTTTAAAAGAATTTAATTAAATTGATATTTTTTTAATATAATATTAAAATTTATTTAATAATATTGGTGTTATTGTCAAAATTAAACTATAAAATTATTTGTGATACCAATTAAATTAGAAATTGATGATCAACGAGTTTATTTAATCTTCAAAACTAATAATGTAAACAATTGGTATAAATTTAATCCAACTATGATAATTAATACATATTTTTTACCTGGAGATAATTATATTAATTTAATTTATAATTATAATTAAAATTATATTATTTTTTATTTAACTTAGATCTAGACATACAATTACATATCAGATTTTTGTTGTTACAACATTTGTGATTAAATGACACTGCATATATCTAATGTACAGATAAAATTACAACTCATTTATTATTTTATTAATATATTTAATTATCTAATAGACCATTAAAATTACAACTTATTTATTATTATATTAATATATTAAGTTATATAATAGTTGAATAAGGGTACACTTAATATGTTTTTTTATATATTTAGTTCGACTTCACATATTTTGAATTTAATTTTGTGTTTTGAACATCTTTAATTAGAGTTGATGTTTTAAATATTTTTTTCTGAGTAGATAATTTTTAGTTAAATATGTTATCTTAAGCATACCACTGGTTTAACCTCATGCCTTTGAACAATTATTTATTGACAAATCATTGTGCTATAATACAACGTGTACTACACTACCAAAAAGTGTAAGATTTGATCCTTAATATAATAAATACATTAAGGCATAACATAATATGAACATTGAAATATACTATATTAATTTAAAAAAGTGGATATTGTCTTTCACTAAGTGTAAATATTATTTTTTACCAAAGATAAGCATCAAGCTTCACTATTAAATCATAACGTCAAGTTTTATTTAGTATAATCATTATGTTGTAATATATCAATTCAAAAAGGTAAGTACTATATTTAGTATAAACACCATATATTATTATCAATTTGAAAAAATAGCATATTTTACTAGTACGAAGCTTTTGGTTATTTTATGCAGATCCCCCGTATGTATATATAATATTTATTTTTTATAAATAAAATTAAAATATTTTTATAAATATAATAAATTTTATTTTTTTTATTTTTTTCTCCTAATTTTTTTATAATAAATATTCTTACATAATTTCACACTTACATTTTTTTTCTCCAACTTTCTTCTATCTTCATATTTTTATATTTTCTTCTTTTACCTGTTCTTTTTTCCGGCTTCTTTTTTTGAAATGATATTAAAAAAATAATTATTTACCAAAACACACTCTCTCCCACTTTATTTATCCAAATAATTATATATATGTATATAATTAAAAATTATTATAGTTATATATATATATATATATATTAAGTATTTATATGTTTGTATATATAATATATATAATTATATAGTTAAATATTAACAAATGAATATATTTATATAATTATATAATTAAATATTTTTATATGTTTAGATAATTAAATATTTGTATATGTAAATATATTTTTAAATATTAACATTTATTTAATAATTGTATATTTATATATTTTAATATTTATATTTATATATTTATATAATTGTATTTGATATTTATATTCATATATTTAAATTTTAATATGTTAGTATATTTATATTTATAATATATATATATATATATATATATATATAATTTGATGAGTATATATATTTATATAATTACATATTAATATATTTAAATATTGATATAATTATATATTAAGATATGTTAATATTTTTAAATTTTTATATTTATATAAATATATAAAAATTATTTTATTTGTTATGGTAAATAATGTTAAAAATAAAAGAAAGTTGATTAACATTCAATTAGTTAAAAAATATTATGATAATATTAGAAATGTAAAAAAATAATATAAAATTGAAAATTTATTTATTAAATTGAAACAATCATAAATAATACATGACACAAGGAATATATTAATTTTATGAATGAGTAACGTTCTTTTGGTACGACCAACTATGTGGTAAAGGGAACAAAGTTTTAGACGATATAGACTTTCGATGATATTCATTTATATTCTTGTTCGTCTTAACTTTGGACGACCTTTTGCATTTTTCTTCATGTTTTGATTTGGGCTTAAAGTTTGCTCGGTGTAAGATGCTCAATAATCTTATTTTTTAATTATCTGAATAATTTGTCATAGATTTTATTGACTTGTACTAAAGTATAAAAAAGATTCATGTATGTAGTAAAATCATGTGTGTATGTTTGCAAATAACTATTACGTGAAAACACAATAAATTAAGTTTTTGGAATTTACCACAATTACACCATGATTCGTCTAGCCTTACTATAAATCAGCCTATTGGTTTGACTTTTTTTGAATTGATGATTTTCTCTACCATAAATCTTTTACGCATTCGGTCAAATTTAATCACTCTAGTCCAAAGTCTTGGTTGTCACTTCAGTATATACATGTTCATCAGCAATCATGGTCGCCACTTCTCTACTCTTTCGGTGAAGAAGAACTTATTGTAACTTATCACCAAGAAGGAAATAGGAAGGTACCTTGTCTTTTTTAAGATCGAATTGATTGACTCTGTCAAGTTGGTGATCATGTGTCCCCAACATCGATCGTTATCCCAATTTAGTGTCCACTTCTTCTTTGAGATTTCATCTAATCATTTTTGTTATCTCTAGGTCTTCATTTCTTACTATGTTGTAACAATAGAAGAATCTCGCTCAAGTATTTGACTATGGAGATCGCACAAAAAATTATGAGATCAACTATCGTTGTCTCGTTTGGGTGCGAAATCAAAAGATTATTCATGATTCTGTACAAATCAAAACTGATGTTGATATAGTCCAAATGATCAACCGTTAGAAAAAAAAAAATACAATCTCTACACTCAACCGTGCAACGTGAACAACACATGCGAAAAAATCAAATTGTTTGTTCAAGCAAATACCACACATAAGATAAAACCTGAGAAAATGATTCGTAACTTAGAAGATAGTACATACGTCAACAAATATCAGATAACAATGTCCACATTTGTCTCGCGATTTATAAGATAATTTATCTTGTATTATTTCTATTTTATTTGGGCTTGATATTAACATGTATTACATCATTAATCTATGGACTTTTAATATTTCATATCATTAATATAAATGTCTACAAAATAAAAAAAATATAAATATATAGATATATATTACTTAAATGTATAAATATATAAATATATTTTTATTAAATATATAAATATATGTATTTATTAAATATCTTATTATATAATATTTATTTATCTGTATACAAATATTCAAATATATCAAAATATATAAATATTAATTAAACATAAAAATATTATAAATATATAATTAAATAAATATATATTTATTAAATATATAAATATATGTATTTATTAAATTTTTATTATATGATATTTATACGAATATTTAAATATATCAAAATATATAAATATGCATTAATTAAATATAAAATATATAATTATACAATATATATTTATTAAATATGCAATGAATTTATTAAATATTTTATATAATATTTATTAATTTATAAATATTTAAATATATTAAAAAATATATTAATTATATATATAATTATATAAATATGTATTTATTAAATATCTTGTTATATAATATTTATTAATTATATATAAATATTTAAATATATCAAAATATATAAATATGTATTAATTATATATTCGTATATATTAAAATTTATATTTATATAAATACATATACATATAAATATATATATAAATAATTTTATATAAATAATTATATATATATATATATATATTATTTATAAATACATTAATATCAAAATATATATATATATATATATATATATATTATAATTATAAAAATTATATAAATATATATAAAAATAGCTGATGCAAAAAAATAAAAATAAAAACGCAACTGGTTCCAACATGGCTTATTCCCGTTTAGACTTCCATTACTCGAACACCGAATTCTGACATTGTATAATAAATACGTCTATTTAAGTAAACAAAGTGAGAGATGATTTTTGTTGTAATTAATATTTTTGTAATATTATTTTAGAAAAAAAATCTCATTTTCCCATCTCAAACTTTTTCTATTACACATATGATTTTTTTGTCTTAAATAATATTTAAAAAATCATTAATTACAAAAATAGACATCACTCACTTTATTCACTCAAATATACTTATTTATTGTGCAAGATCCGAATTCGATCATGGAAAACCAAATTTGGAAGGAGAATGTGACACGCGGAAACCATAAAAGCAGTCAAAATTCTGAATTGCGTGTTTTTTTTTTCCCTTTTTGTCCTAACAACTTATATTTATGAATTTTAAAAAAATATAAAAATATATATTTATTAAATATCTTATTATATAATATTTATTAATTATATACAAATATTTAAATATATCAAAATATATAAATATGTATTAATTATAAATATAAAATATATATAAATATGAAATTTATTAAATATATATATATATATTATTAAAATTAAATATATTAATATATAATTTATTAAATATCTTATTATTTAATATTTATTAATTATATACAAATATTAAAATATATCAAAATATATAAATATGTATTAATTAAATATATAAATATATAAATATATACAAACATATATTAAATATATAAATATATGTATTTATTAATATATGTTATTATTTAAAAATATGTTTACATATATAAATATTTAATTATCTAAACTATAAAAAATATATTCATATATTAATATGTAAATATATATATATATATATATATATATATATATTATTTAAATATAAGCATATAAATATTAAAAATATATTAATATATAATTATTAAATTATTATCATATATAAATATAATAATATTTATTTATATCATATATATATATATAAATAAATATACGTACGTATATATATATTATTAATTTTTTTTAATTCATAAATATAAGCTGTTGGAAAAAAAATGCAATTCAAAATTCTGATTACCTTTATGATTCTAGCATAACACATTTTCATTGGAAATTCGGTTATCAGAATCGAATTCTGACCTTACAGTAAAACACGTCTATTTGAGTAAATAAAGTGGACGAAGTCTATTTTTGTAATTAATGATTTTTTTTAATATTTTAAGACAAAAAGTCTTACGCACTCACTTTATATATCTTTTCATATTTTTATATTTTTTTTACCATTCATTTTCTTTCATGTTTTTTCTCTTCAATGATTTCACTTCAAAGAATAAAATTTGAAAATTTTTCTATTTTTTTATTATTTTTCTTATAGTTTCATCTTTTTGTTTTCTAATTTTGTAGTTTTTTCTTTTTCTGAAGACATAAGATAAAAAGTTAAAAAAATAAATGAGATATCTTATAATAATTTTATTGAGATAAAAAATATTAAAACAATTTTTTTTTATTGTTTTGGTTTATTATTACAATAAATCAACATGTATAAGGTAGTGTAAAAATATGAAATATTAATATATTTTTTATTTATTATAAATTAATTAATCATTTTAATGTTAAATTGTGAAAAAAAATCAGATTAAATTTTAAAAATATATACAAAAAATTATAAACTCATTTTATAAAAGAAAAGAAAAAAAATAAAAATAAATTATATTTGTAAATATTTAAATTTAATTAATAATGTTAATTTGCTCAAAAATATTTTATATAATAATTAATTTTGATATATTGATGTATTTCCATGAATAAATATTATATAATTTTTTATTTATTTATCATGCGTTCTACTACAATTCCATAAAAAAATATTATTAAGATATTTTTATCTTATCTCGATTACCCAAAAATAACGATATCAAAAAAATTAATTAAAATGTAAATGTTATCTACAAATATGAACATTTCCGAAAACAGACTAATATATTGTACAAAACTATCATCATCATTATCACGTTCTAGTTAAATTACTTTTTAAATATAGACAACTTTTTTACCTATTTATACTCTTTTAATATCTTATAAATAAATTATTATTTTATAATTTATTGTCTCATTCTTTTAAATAAATATTTTCTTAAACATCACCTATTATCTCTAATATATATTAATTAATCAAGAAGAATTTAACCTCCAAAACGTTACTATACTACACTAATTTATACCACATCCTAATAGAATAAATTTCATCATATAACTAACTAAAAGATAATGATGTATAACATTATATTATAAATTATGAACATTCACTTAATTTTAATAATAATACTTACTGTTCGCTTGAAAGATTTTTTGTCTTAAATAATATTAAAAAACATTAATTATGAAAGTAGATTTTATCTACTTTATTTATTTAAATAGACCTGTATATGGTGCAAGCTCAGAATTTGATTCGTGTTCTAATTTTGAATGAAATGAGCTATAGAACCAGAATTGCGAATTCTGTGTGTGTGTTTTTTTTTCAACAGCTTATATTTATGACTTAAATATATATATATATATATATATATATGATATAATTAAATATTATTATATTTATATATAATAATAATAATAATAATTTAATCATTATATAGGAATATATCTTAAATATTTATATGCGTATATTTAAATATATATATATATATATATATATATATTTACATTGATATAATTAAAAATTATTATATTTATATATTTTAAATATTTCTATATTTGTATATAATATATATAATTAAATATTAATATATGAATATATTTACATAATTATATAATTAAATATTTTTATATGTTTAGATAATTAAATACTTATATATCTAAATATATTTTTAAATAATATATATATATATATATATATATATTAATAAATAGATATGCTTGTATATTTAATAAATACATATTTATATAATTATATATTTGTATATTTAATTAATACATATTTATATATTTTGATATATTTAAATATTGGTATATAATTAATAAATATTATATAATAAGATATTTAATAAATATATACTTGTATATTTAATACATACATATTTATATAATTTGTATATATTTTTATATTTAATTAATATATATTTATATATTTTGATATATTTAAATATTTATATATAATTAATAAATACTATATAATAAGATATTTAATAAATACATGTTTGTATATTTAATAAATATATATTTATATAATTATATATTTTTATATATTTCTATATTTAATTAATATATATTTATATTTTTTGATATATTTAAATATTTGTATACAGTTAATAAATATTATATAATAAAATATTTAATATATATATATATATATATGTATATTTTTTAAAAGTCATAAATATAAGCTGGTGGAAAAAAAAACAATTCAAAATTCTATCTGTTTTTATGGTTACAGTGGGACACATTTTTGTTCGAAATTCGATTTATCAGAATCGAATTTTGACATTGTACAGTTAACATGTCTATTTGAGTAAATAAAATGGGTGAAGATATATTTTCATAATCAATTATGTTTCTAATATTATTTAAGACAAAAAGTCTCGCTTGTAATAAAATCATAATCTTTTTATAAGTTTTAATATTGTTTTTTCTTATATAACAAGTTTTATACATCAAATAAAAACAATTACAAAAGAAAAAGAAAATTCATCCCTTTATAAACCAATTTAACATTTTTTTCTCAATTTAAAAGAAAAATATAATTACAAATGACTAAACGTTTGTTTATTTTTAAAAGTAGCTTTCAAGTTTTTATTTTTAAAAACTAAAAAACATTATTAAGTTTTTTTAAAGCAGGTTTTAAAAAATATTTAATTTTTTAATATTTTAAAATAAAAAAATCATGATAATAATTTCTTATTTATCAAAGATTGTTTTTTAACTTTCTTTCATGACTATATATCATTCTCTTTTGTTTAAAATTATAAATTAAAATAATCAAGTTTTTTTTTCATTTTATTTTTAAAATGGTTTTTAAAATCTATTTCTAAAATTATTTTCAAATGTGGAAAATGTTTCATTCATTGCGATGTAATATATGTCACTGGATTATATTCTGAAAAGTGAAAGTAATAGATTACTGAGTATCACACTCTGACTGACCAAAAGTATAATCTATACATAGATCATAGATAGATAATAAGAGGGCGTCAGATGTAAGCAGGTTTTATATAACAAGACTTCTTTCCCACTGAATTTGGTTTGCAGTTCATAGTTTACATTAATTTTGCTATCTACTATTTACATTAATACATCTCAAATAATGTTTGACAATATCTGTAGCTTTTAATATTTTCCTTTTCAACAATTAAGTTGAATGATACTGCACCTCAAGCTGCTTTCTTCAAGCTGTTAAAACATAGTGAAAATTAATAAAGGAATATCTAAATTTGAGTGTTCTGATGTCTAAGTCCTATTTTGTAAATTTTTTAAGTGTTTGGTTCTGTGTCCGTAATGATTAGTTTTGAGTGTGACATCTTGATTTGTGTTTGAGTACTTATCATGAGTCAAAAATTCTGATTGATGGGGTATAACAAAAACTTACCTCAAGGAGACACATGGTGTGGAAGATATCATTGAATTCTTGTAAGAGAAACTTCTCTTGTATAACAATTTCTGCTAATTCTGATATCAATCTAGCAATCTCATCAGCCTGATTATGAAGGAATTTCAACTTGACTTTCAATTTTAAGTCCTCACCAGATAATAGCAAGACTAGAGTAATGTTACCAAACATACCATGGGTGAAAAAGTAGATAACATTGACTTCATGGAATTTGTTAGATTCAATGCACGCAACTGAGAAACGGATGTTAGTTTCAAATCCACCTGGAGAAGCAACATAATAATAAGAATTTTGTAAATACGATTTTTTTATGCTAGCTAAGGCCTAAATGTCTCTAATTAGTCTTACCTTTGCACCTTCCAAAAGATGAACTCTGCATGCAACAGCATACAAACACTCTTGCAATAAGTTGGTTGCACCTATATATTGCCTTTTCATACTTCCCCATGTCTTCAATAGCTTCATCTACCAACCCATAACACACATAAACCACAACGAATAATGGCATAATGCAATTAATCATCTCAATTAGAATCCACTTCAATCAGTTTAATCATAATTCAATGAGATACACTACCAACTCACTTGAGATTGCAATATATAATCTAGTTTCATCTCAAGCTTCTCCCTCTGAAGCTCTATCTTCGTTAACACCAGTGAATATCGCAACTTGCCTATACTATCCAAAGCACACATCAAATTTCCCTAAGCACATAACAATTCACAAAAGCATCAATCTCATGGGAGATGAAGTATATAACCATTTCATAATCTCATTCGATAATTTCATATCACTAGCATGTTTTGGTTGGGCCTAAGTTTGTAGAAATAAAAACTTTCGTTTTTTTATTTTTCAAAATTATGATCAATACCTCAGCTTGAAGGGACATGGTGTGATTCACAGCACCAGCTTTAGCATTTGCAAACCGCCATTGGATGAAGCGATTGTCAAGCAGACGTAGTTGATGAACCAACTCAATGTTTAAAGGTTTCTTATGCCTAAACAGATCAATGCCTTTGCTCACAATCTTCTCCACACTTTTGGGTTGAGGTGGCCTCAGGATAATGTGTCCATGAGACAATGCCCAGTGAGACTTGGAACTCACATATCCAAGTACAGAATTATTAGCCTTTTTCACTGCTTTGTGCGTCTTCACCATCCATGAATCATCAGAATCTCCCCCTCTTGTTGCCATGTACTTGAAAGAAACCACCCTACCCACTTCTCTCTAATTCCATGTTCTTGACAGAGAATGTGGTATTTGATTCTGGATCAATCGAATATTTACAAGCCATTGATGGTATTTCTTAACTCCCTGCAACTCCTTTGTTTTGTGAGAACAGAGAAAACAGAGCAATGTTTTGATTTTGATGAAGGATAGTTTCATTCACTCTCTCTCAACCTTTCGTTGTCTATGTTATTGCCGAGAACGACGGTGGTTTGTTTCTTAATTCTAAAAAATTCACCTTATTTTTTCTATCATTCACTATAATTTTTCTTATGTTTTTTTTCTAAAAAAATGACATTTTTATAACTGTAAAATAAAAAAGACAGGAAATAAGAGTGTAAGAAAACGACCGACAAGTTTTTACTAGATTAATTTTTTCCTCCTGAGAAAAAAAAAAGTAAGAATTTCAATGCAAAGAATAGAGGATGATTCTTATAAATAATTTTTTTAATTGTGATTACGCTATTTTGTAAGTGAATAAGATATTAAACTTTTGTAAAATAATTAATGGAAAAGGAAGAGACATTAAGTTGAGTTGAGAGAGAAATAATGCAGTTTGAAAATGGAGGTCACCAAATAGGATGTCGCGTTACAACTTACAACAAGGAACGCAAGCTGCTTAAGAAAACTGACGTGTATAGCACACGAAAGATAAAACGGAAGCGCGTGTTTATTATTGTTAATATTATCAAAAACCAAACATGAATATTAAAATCCAAAAATTAAAGTAAAAAAATGAAAATTTTGCCACCCAACAAAGCATTGAAAGCAAAGCACCACTCCTGAATCTGTGGCCACCCAGAAGGAGAATGGCCATAACAACAAAAGTACTACAACACAATCTCACCCCTCTTTCTAGAAAACCCTGTTCCTGACAACATCGTCCTCATAACCCTTCAAACTCGAACGTATCACTTTGAAGCTTCATTGAATCCTCTCTTTTCCTTATTCTCCTTGCTTTGGAGTTTGGAGTTTGGACCGGTTTCTTTAAACTAAACATCTCTTGAATCTGAAGTTACCCAAAACTTTCCTTTCAAGTGTGTTCAGTTCCCAATATTGGTCTTGTGTTGGTGTATTTAATTTTGGGGTGACATAGATCTTGGCTTGGGAACAGTTTGCAGAACACAAGTAAAAGAAAGCAGAAAGAACAAGTTTGCATTTAAGTCCCTGCAGGTGAAATCGGAGGTGTAGGTTTTCTTTCTGTGAGTTACAATTACAATATAGGTAGGTTACTTGTAAAGAGACTTAAGATTGACTTATTGTGAAGTTTCCTCCACCTTTTGCGCCTTAAAAAATTGTTCCTTTCTGCAGAGGGTGTAATCAGATCTGAGCCTGTTAGCTAGAGGTGGGTCCCAACTCCCCTAACCAAACCATTGTCAATTTGTCATATACCACATGTTACTTATATAGCTCCCAAATCAAAATCTTTGGCATTGGGTTGTGGATTGATGCCGATTTAAGATTAGCTTCTTTGTTTGAAAACCATGTTTTATCCTGCAGAAAACATGGACCCTTTTGTGCTTATATGCTAACCATGCTTGTTAAGAAGGTGGCTTTGGTTCTGCAGCTGAATCATTGTACTTCTCTTCTTATTTTTCAAATATTTGTGGGGTTCTTGCAGATTTGTGTTTAAACTCATCTGCAGGAACTGAGCACAGGTAGAGATCTTGGTGTGCCCTTGAAGTGAAACGGTCTTAAAAGTTTGATTTTTGTTTAGCTGTCCCACAAGAGTATGAGGAGAAATGCTGGTTCTCTTTCAGGAAGGATGTTCAGTGACAGGAAGTGGGTTCTCCCTTTTTTTGCAAGTTTGATTATATCTATGAGTCTGGTTCTGACGGCTATTATTGGGGTACTTAGTTCTGATGGTGGGGGAGAGCAGTCGCCGTTTGAAATCATTTCCTTCAAGAGACCAGAGAATTCCAATGGATATTTTGTGGAATCAGATATAGAAAGGTCTTTTAATGTTAGTATGGTGAAAAGGGAGTCACCAAGGTTTGCCTACCTTATATCAGGCACCAAGGGTGATAGTCATAGGATGATGAGGACATTAGAGGCAGTGTACCACCCAAGGAATCAATACATCTTGCATTTAGATCTTGAGGCGCCACCCCGGGAAAGGTTGGAATTGGCAAATGCAGTGAAAGCTGATCCAATTTTTCGTGAGGTGGAGAATGTGCGTGTTATGTCTCAATCCAATTTGGTAACTTATAAGGGTCCTACGATGATTGCCTGTACACTCCAAGCTATTGCTATATTATTGAAGGAAAGTTCAGAGTGGGACTGGTTTATTAACCTCAGTGCTTCAGATTATCCTCTTATGACACAGGATGGTAAGTATCTGACCCTTTATCTGCATCTCATGTTGTATGGTATTATTCCTGTCAAAATGCATGCATAAATTATGGCCTTCTTTGTTTGATCTATACAAAATATTGTCTAGATTTGAACACATGATGCTGTTTCACAGAGGTTTTAAAAATTTTAAAACCGTATGGCATAAGAGTGTATTGTGATGATGTATGGCAAATAGATGGTAATAGTTAGGCTGCTACATCGTGTGTAGTTTGCCTTTCAATTTTAGCACGTTGTTGCTTTATTTCCCTTGAGCACTACACTATTGTTTTGAGGACATAAATCATAATTAAAGTAGTCACTGATGTTTTAACAACAGAAACGACTATTCTTCATCCTTATCTATCTTGCAATTATTGCCGATTATTCAGGATGGATCTCTATTTAACATCATTAGGTCTGTTTAACAACTAGTGATTGAAATAAGTGGGTTACTTTACATACTCTCAAACACAGTTATATATTACTTCCATTTTCTCGTAACATGTGTTTAACAGTAAAAGGCTAGCAAGTAAATTTGGGCCTGAGCTAATAAAATAAAATCATTTGCCATTCTCACTGCCTCGTGTTTTTTTTCTCTCTGTATTTTATTGTTTTATGTGGCTATTCCGTGAAATTCCATCACAGTCATTCTAGCCCAAATCATAGTTGTTTTCAGTAATTCAAGGACAGTCTTGCTCCTGAAGTAAGACAGAAGTTAGCTAGTTCATGTAGCCTCTCATAATACAGCCTAGAAGTAGTGTAAATTTTATATATATCTACTGGTACCATTCAGACTGTTTTGATATTCAAATCATTGCTACTAGCGATCAATTGTTGCTCTAGTCCCCAACAAATGTGAGAGATGCCAAATTGAATCTCCATAAATTAGCTTTGCCTTTCTCTATAAGAAAACAACAACCTAGCTTTATTCCACTTGATGTCAGAGTTTGAAGTCTTATTATTGAAGATATGACATATGCCTTGCCACCAATGCCTCGCGACCCTCAATATGCATTTTATGCATATATTTGAGATATTTGTTTGGATATTTATGAAGGTCACTGTAGTTGATATCTGCTGATACATTCCTAATCTAGAACTTCTAGCACAGAGGTGCTAAACAAGATCTTTCAATATCTTCATTACTGCAGCAGATGATGTTAGATGGTGCTTCTTTTCCATAAATGGTCATTCTTTTTGTGAAAGGTCTGGTTCTTTCCACAGAACTTATGTGCACTCAAACCTAAGTGTATTTGTCTCATGAGTTTCTCTCTGAAGTGAACAAAGGTATATCCTCTGTTGAATTAATTTTGAAGTGCACTCAAACCTTTAAATTAAGGTTGATTACTAATTACCTGTGCTCACTTTGGACAAATATCGAATCTAGTAAGTTGCTGAAGAAATCACAACTTCAATTCTGAATAAATGTGGGACATGGATTATATTATGATTAGGTTTATTCTTTCTTTGCATTTTTTGGAAATGAAGTATGAACTAGACATAATGTAAAACATTCAACATAAATTCATACAAGTCTGACCTTGTTCTGGGTGGTTGTCAGATGCAAAAGAATTCAGTTTTGACCAAAAAGCAAAATAAAGTTTCTAGTACCTGCATAACTGCATAACAATTTTGTACTCAATAATTTGAGTCTTCTGGTTTCAGCATCTTCTTCCTGTTCTGCATATATATAGTTTTTCTATCATTTGGCACAAATCAAGATTCATATAGATTATTCCATGCTGTTTTTATAGTCTGAGTTTGATTGAATTTTGTATCTGTATTAAGTCAAACATTGCAAGAAGTTTACTTCTTGAACATTGTAAATGCTTTGTCAAGCCATTTGATATTTCGTTCCGGCTCTTGCAGATTTGCTTCATGTTTTCTCGAATCTGTCAAGAAATCTCAATTTCATTGAGCATACACTCATTGCTGGTTGGAAACTGTAAGTGAATTGATTTATTATTTATCCGAAAATTGCTATAAATTATATTCTGCCCGTTTTTCTACCCTAAATTACTACATCAGTTGATTGATTTTCTTGTATTACTGATTATATGCAGGAACCAAAGAGCAAGACCCATCATTATTGATCCTGCCCTTTACTTATCTAAGAAATCTGATTTAGCATTGACTACTCAACGAAGAACCCTTCCCACATCTTTTAAACTGTTTACTGGTATGTCTCTATCTATTATCTATAAACATTTAAAAAAAATTATTTCTACTGTAAATTTAAAGTAGAGGCCCTTGAAGGTTTTGCAGTGCTAAGACTATAAAATAACTAGCTAGCTAGCATGGTTACTTACTTTTTTCCATGAGATAGACAATTGTCATGGTAGATCCCCATACTTTTGTGCTGTGTGAACAGGTTCTGCTTGGGTTGTACTGACTCGGTCCTTTGTGGAGTACTGTATATGGGGATGGGATAACTTTCCACGGACTATGCTAATGTACTACACAAATTTTGTGTCCTCGCCAGAGGGATACTTTCACACTGTCATCTGTAACACTGAGGAATTCCGTCACACGGCAATAAGCCATGATCTTCACTACATTGCTTGGGACACTCCTCCAAAGCAGCATCCCATCTCTTTAACTATGAAGGACTTTGACAAAATGGTTAAAAGCAACGCACTGTTTGCACGCAAATTTGCTAAGGATGATCCAGTGCTAGACAAGATTGACAAAGAACTTTTGGGGCGTACACACAGATTTTCACCTGGGGCATGGTGTGTTGGGACCTCAGATGGTGGGGCTGACCCTTGTTCTGTTCGTGGTAATGATACAATGTTTAGGCCAGGCCCTGGTGCTGATAGGCTAAGTGAACTACTTCAGGTGCTGTTATCTAAAGAATCTCTTAGCAAGCAGTGTTTGTGACAAAGGGGTACCCCCAACCCATATAGGAAGAATCATGTCAAGTGTACATAAGTTTGGCTACAGATATGCATCTGGTTTAAAAGGTTAGAATTTTGTGTTCAGTATAGGTTTATATTAACAATCAACAAGCACTCATACCATCAGTTTTGGTGCTTGTTCGGTCTAGAGACACATTTGGTTGCAGTTCCGACCAACCATTCATGAAATTACTACACTTCGTTGAGTTAGAAAAGGCAATTAAATTTCACATTGGGCTTCTGGATAGTTGTCTATTTTCTAATGGATAAATATCTAGGTTGACATTGTAGAATTGGGAGACGTGAGTGGTCCAATCATAACTCTATAATGAGTGATCTAACATATTCAACAATAATTATTAAGACAAGTTATGATATCATTTTAAAATCAGTTTAAATAAAATTGAACCATAAAAGTTAACTCATGAGGTTAGGATTATCTTCCACCGGTATGCACTATTTTGACCGTACAACTACTAGTGAATGTGGAACCTTTGAGTGAAACATGATCTAATTTTACGATTGGTGAGAGTGATCTGTTTATATTTGTTATTATTTTCTGGAGACAAGACCGTCAATTATCCTTTTTCTACCCCCAATCCTTCGAGAACACCTTGCATTTTAAACCGTTGGTACCAACTGGGCAACAACTTCCAAACTATTTCAATTGAATTTTTGACATAAGCATGCACCAATGTTTGCACCATTGGCTACCACAAGGCACTAACCATGCCTGCAATCTTTGTGCTGCTGTTCATCAGGGAACATGATCAATATGTTATAGAGCGCATCTCAAAAGACATGCCTTTAGTTCAAACTCGAGCACAACAGTTTCTTCTCATGGATTCTTTGCCATTTAGTCAACAGGAATGGCCCACCACTGGATACACGTAGACCAGGATAAAGTACTTTTTTTATTTATTTTTGCTCCTGTCAACTTTAATGCATGTGCATTAAACCTAAATACTATTGTTTTCCCCCATAAATTATTATGTTAAGATGTCTTGAAAAAAAATATACTACGTCTAAGGTTTTGAAACTGATGAAAAAAGTGAAGAATATGACATGATGTAATTTGAACCTAAACATAGAAAACACAGTACCTAGAAAAGTTATGCAGTGATTTTTTGGGGAAGAACAATGCTTGATACAGAACATCCACCAGTAAAATCTCCTCACATCGGTATCAGTATCAGTACAGGTAACAAAATAAAAGTTCAGGTACCAAAATAGTTTTGTGGGGCCTACTGAAACCAGGTGGTGAAAAGTGTTTGGAAGATGGTTACGTGTACAAGAAAACATGATTAACATTATTCTTTATGGGATACAAACGAAGTTTAGCGCTCCCTTTGGTACCGCAGAACAGAGAAGACAAGGGAGGAAAAGGAAATAAAAAACCACTAGACGGATGAAACTTTCCTAAGCATGAAAAGGTAATCTTCTTTGCAAATTTTCCTAATAGGAAACAACGGTTTTGTGGGATCAAATTCTTTCCTTAAGCTATGTGGTTTAGCTTCAAGTAACTTGGAACCATTTCATCAAATGAAATGTCATCGAGGTATCCTCCTGCCAGAAATTTCCTCTTCCCTTCCAATGGATCCAGTTTCTTTTTGCATTTATCAAGAGCCACATACTGAGGTAAGTGGTCACTCCAATAACCACAACAAAACAGCTTTTGCTGAGTCACTTGAGCTGGACCACTATCTGCTGTTAGTGGTGATATTTCCGATTTTGCCTCCCAATGCACTTGTCTTCACTTGAATTTGACTTGAAATAACCAAATATTCTTCTGATCCGTACCATATAAAAAAGGTAGGAACTTCAGGGAATACAATGAACATTAATATGAAAAATGTATGCATTTGGAAAATTGATTGATCTGTTTTTATAGTGTGGGGTTAAGTCATATGTATTAAGGAGGAAAAATTCAACAAACAAACAAACAATGGCCCTGGTGAAGAATTTTCTCTGGGTGCAACATTTTGACTTAACTACATACACATTTTGAAGAGACTAATCAAATTATTCTCAAGAGTAATTTTCTTAAATGCCAGAAAACAATCTGTCAATGAAATTTAACTTTGTTGTTACTGAAACTTCCAACCCTTTTCCCCGAGAGAGAACATTTTCCTTCTACACAAGGGTGGTGTAATCAAGTCTACTATAGACCACATCTTCAACTTGATAATTTTGGACCACAAACCCAACCGGGGCATGGATCCTTTGCAGTCTAAAAAAACTGTTTTTTCTTGGGTTTGCAGTTGCAGAGGATCTCCAAACCCATTCATCCACGTCTCAAATCATCAATAAACTTTCACTGCCTAGATAGAAATATATCATGAATTTAATTGGAATCCAAAGTGTATAAATTGTCAATTGGTATACTAGGATTTTTCTACAGTGCAATTCAATCGTTATAAAACTATTAGCTTTAATTATAATTATTTTAAATATCATATTTATGACCATCTTAACTGATTAAGATTACAAAAATTTGAGTTTATAAAAATTAATCTCATATACTTAATCGTTACAGATAATTAGTAACCAGTTACCAAGTAAATGAGAGTGTGGCAGTGAGATAATCTTCAAAATATTAAAAAAAAAGAAGGGTATAGTAACAGAATAACTTATGTAAATTAAATTAATAAGAAAGTTACACATAATCTTTATAGAATGATAATTTATAATTTGTTTAAAGGAGAATCTCCTTAACATCAACTAATTCATGATACTTTGTTGTTCCATAACATAATATTATTTTTGCTAAAAATAATTTTAAAAACTTTTTTTCTTCTATTATTTGTAGGAGATTGAGTCACATATTATAAACTTTAAGTCATTCTGTTTTCAAATAAATGAAATTCATAATATTAGGATAAAAATAGGCTATGCACTAACAATAATATAAAACATTTTAACTCTGTTTTCCCACCAAAAAACTATTGCGTATGGTAAGTTTGTTGATTCTACAATAGTTATGTGAGAATTTATACTAGAGGTGGATTCTAATTGGTAAAAAAGTTGCAAAAATAATGTGTAACCATGAAACTCTATTAGAATAAGAGATGTTAGCTATTTTCCTTTTTTGTTAAGATTTTTTGTCCATTGTCTTATATGTTTGCTTTTAGATAATAAAAAGGAGATAAAAAAAAAAAAAAACTATGAGAGCGTCCCAAAAAGAATCTCTAAGAGTATTGAGTTGGTCTCTTTGATATGAACCATTGGACCACACAATAAAAAAAAAAAAAAAAAGTGAATTAAAGATTCAATCTTTATTCTCTGATTTTTTGGAACCGTAATGAGGGGTTTGGGTTCTTTAAGGGCATTGGGAATGGCAGTAAACTTAGGTTTAATTTTAGCATCTATAAAGTGCTAGGTTTTGGTATCTTTAGTGTTTCTATGTGTTAGATAAATCTTTTGATGGAATTAGGCAATTTTCTATCTATCATCTTGTGGATACTTAATTTGTATTTTTCTTTTCAATTGATTTTTTTTCCTCTTTTTCTTAATGCTTCTTGAGAGTTTATCACATCTAAAGAGATTTTTTTAATCTATTTAGTGAGAATTACCTATGTGTTTTGAGATTCATAATCAATATCTCTTTAAAGTAGAATAATTATTGAATATCCATTATTGTTATAGATACATGTGTTAAATGCTTGTTCATTTTTTATGTCACTTAAGGAACTAAAGTTATCAATGGAGGTAGAGGTTTAGTTGCTCGAGAAATTAAAATTTAAATAAATTAGAGATTTTGTATGATAAAGTGAGACATTAAATTAAAATTCACATTGGGAATTTGAGGCGAAATATAAATAAGAGTTAATCCTAATATTTATTCAATTTAATTTATCTCATATTCTTTCTCTAAAAAGAAGTTTCCTGAAAATATTCTTGAGTGTGCTTTTCAATTTTAATTGTTCCTTTTCTTAAATAAAATCAAAGTTAAACAATCGTTGTAGTTCATATTACAATTATATTTTTGTATAAAATTATAAATTAGCCTTTTCTAAATAAAAATAAAAATAAAATCCCACGTCTTTACCTTGTTAAAATTTTATGATTTGCAATGACATAATATATTGGTTGAAGCTTCATCAATGCACATCATTTACAAAACTACATAATATAAGATGTCTTATAGCTAGAAAGTTTAATTAAGAGCATTTAAATTTAAATTGATCGGACATAAAGTATATTCCATATAATTTTAAAAGTAAAATTTTTTATACAAGGTATAAAAATAAATTTAGTTTGATGAACTTATAAAAAGACTTAATAAATAGATTAATTATGATAAAAATTTTATAATATAAATTGAATCAGCCTATTTTTATTTATATATAGTTTTATTTAGGTTATGGTATATATAGTTTTAAGTGATGTTAATTCGACGTATTTTATAAAATAATAATTTTATTTTTTTATAATATATATATATATATATATTAATATATAATGATTAAGATTAATTATTATTTTAAATTAATAAATTATTAAAAATAAATAATAATAATAATGAAAAGTAAGTTTTTAATTTTTATTTTAAAATTTAATAGATACATTTTCTTATTTTTTTTATATTAAATTATTATATTTTAAATAAAAATTAATTTTATTAATAACTTTTAAATTTTCAAAATATATTTTTATTTTAAAATTTTATTTAAATATTTTTAATTAATTAATTTTATATAAATATGTTAATATTTCTTTTTTAAATTCAATCACATCAAAATTAATCGGGATTACTCAATTTTTTTTACCAATTTTAAAATATAAATCAAAGTTTGATTATCAAATATTTTTACTTAATCCGTAAATTAGGATAAACTGGTTGACCTACTTATTTTGATAATTCTAATTAAATTATTAACTTAATTAATTTATGTTAATTTATAGTCAGTTAAATTAAAAATATGTTAACTCAATCCGATTTATATTTTAGTAAATAAATTTTTTTATTTAATTCAGCTTAATCTATCTTTAGTAAATTGGATAGATCGACCCATTCGAGTAGGTGTGTAATTTCTTAATTTTTTATTTTTTAAAATTAGTGAAATAAATTAAGAAATACATTAGTAAAATACCATGACTTACACGTTTATTCTTTAAATAAAGTCGTACAATCTGCTCTGTTCGCATTTATTGTTTGAAGGAACAAATAAGAGAGACAGAGATGTGATTTTTTGGTTTTCCAAATAAGATGTGTTTGGTAAAAAAAAAAAAATCAATTTGAAACATTTTATACTTTTATTCTTACAATAAAAATATTTAGAAATTTAGTTTTTGTTAAAAAGATATTAATAATATTTTGTTTCTTATGTGTCATCATTATCAATATTATGTCTTTAAATTAATTTTAACATAATTATAAAATTTAGAGTAATTTATTGCGAAACTGAAAACCGCCATTGAACTAAAAAGTGTTTATAGTTTTTTTTAATTAAAACTTATAATTAAAAATCGGTCTTATTTTTAAACAATTTACTACAAATTTAGTTAATATTATTCAAGAAAAAAAAAGAACTTCCTTTTCATTAAATTAATAAAACAATATAGAAAAAGAAACTATTAATTAATCTGAACGTTAGAATTTTGAAAGGTTTAATAACGTAAATTAGTAGTAACTTATAACGGAAACCACCTTTAAATTAAAAAAAAAAAAAAAAAAAAAACTAAATAGCTGGACACACATCATTCCATTGCGCGGACACGTGCTCCGTGATCTTACCTTTAACTGGAAGTAACTCAGTTTGTGCTAATTGCAATGGAGCATATTAATTTATAGTTTTAATGATGAACATAATTTTGGTTACATATGAATCAGTCATAAATAACAAATACCAACGTAGTAGTATTTTATGTAGGATGGTGTAGTAGTCAAAACGAGGAGAGCATGGGAAAGAGAAAGAGGTTGTCCCAGATGAAACGCTCTGACACAATTTCCATGAACACTCAACTTTGTGAACTCCGCAACCTCAGATATGAGTAGGTGGCACCTTCTTTTTGCATGACAAGCAACCCAGAATCAGAACTCTTTAGGAAGAGAGAGATTACCCCACTTTATTCTTCATTGTTCCTTTCCAAGGGCATAGAAGCCGTTCATATTTGGTGGTTGTGTTGATTAAACATTATTCATCATCACCCTTGTGAGAGAGAGAGAGATGGCTTACAACAAGGGGGTGCATAGCAGCGGTGGAGGGAGTAACAGAGGGAGGCCTTATGCGTTGATATTGCTTATCACATTTGGGGTTGCAGTGCTTGGGGTTATGGTGCTTCACAAGCTCAGAGAGAAGCGCATCTATACCCTTCTAGTCAAAGAGAAAGATCATCAGATTCTTTCTCTTCAGCTTCTCTTGCAGGTCACTAACTCTTCTCAGTTTTTCTCCTCCATCAACCCCTTACCCCCTCTCTCTTGGCTTCTCTTTCTTTTACGTGTTATTCTGTCATCACGACACGTAAGGAGCTACATGCAATAATATATATATAAGCTTCCTCAAGAACACACTCACACTTTTTATTAACTCACTAAAAATGATTTTGCCTGTGGATCACGTAATTTGATGAGTTTTAATAGCTTCAATGATTTTGCCAATTCTCATAATGTTGAATCCTTTGATTATTATATAATCAAACTTCACCTTGCATAAACACAAGAAATAGATGTTTAGCTTTGTTTGGGTGTATGGGCAAAATTTAGTGTCTAGAATGAAATATGGTAAACATTTTGATTGTCAATATTCTTTCAATTCAATTCTACAAATGTTAGGTTCGAAGAAGTAAGTTGATTAAAGTATTGTAAACATAAACTTTTCAGAAGGAGAAGAAAAAGAAGAAGGTCAAATGAAATTGTATAAAACATTAAGGCATAAATTGCATTTAGTTTATGGAGTAGGTAAATATATTTCATTCTGATTTTCTTCTGTACTCAGGAGAAGTTAAGTCAAATAGTATATTTCAGAATAACTCTGACTATGTTTCCTTAATCATACAGAAGGAAAGAGATCGCAGCAAGGAGTTGAGAGAGAAGAACGAAGAGATGAAGGGGAAGATATACGCCTTGAGAAGTCAGAAGATGGAGCTGTCAAGAACAGTTGTGGAGATGCAATCCACCCTGGATTCACTGAAAGATGAGCAGAAACTGATGGAATCAGCATTTGAGGAACAGCAGAATGAGCTAAGATTGATGCAAGAAAAGGGGAGCAATGTGGGACAGGGAGGCTCTGAGATAGTAGCATTAAGAGAGGATCTTAAGCACAAGGAAGCAGAGATAGAAGACTTGAAGCACCGTCTTGAAAGCTCAGTTAATAATCATCCAACCACCTTTCCTGAAATAGTGACGGCAAATGGAACAATGGCAGGACAAGATGAATCTGAGAAGGAGGAAAATTCCAGTGAATTTGCCAAACATGAGGGTGATGACAATGAGAATGCAAGTAAAAGAGAATTAACCAAGTCCAAAGATGGGGATGTTGCAACTGATATAAGAGATGAAACTCGGACTGATGGGGAGTTTGGAAAGGCAAATGAAGACCAACAAAGTAATGGTGGTGGCGCGGCAAAAGATATTAATGATGCTGAAGTGCGATACGAGAGGGAGAAGAAAGCAATGAGAGAAGAACAAGCAGAGAATAATGCAGACAGTAGTGGTCAGGTGAAACAGTTGGCTGGGATGAAGAGGAAACATAACCATACAAGAAGGACAAAGGCTAAGCATTTGAGAACGAGTAAATTAACGGAGAACGGGGCTGCTGATAATCACATGGGCGATAAGAAGGTTTACAAAGATGAGGTGAAAGGGAGAAGAATTGGGAAGGTCTCTTATGAGGAAACTTTTACGAGAGAAGACGAGGGAAGAAACAAAAATAGCCCAAAAGACAAGTCACGTACCAAATTGTTAAAGCTTGAAAATAAGGAAGATGGCATTGTTACGAAGGTGAATAATACAAAACATGATGTCACAGTTAGTACTACTAATCATAGACGGGATGAGACAAGGCATATCAACAAAGCTGACAAGAATGCAGAACAAACAGAAACTGGAATGTTATTTGAAGGGAATGGGGAATTAGAAGCAGTTTTGGTTGCACAAAATCAGAATAAAGATGGGATTGATAGTGGTCATAAAGATGGGATTGATAATGGTCATAAAGATGAGATAGATAACGGTCATGATGAAATTGATAATGGTAATGAGGACGATAATGATGATGAAATTTTCAAAAAATCTCATTCTGAATCTCAAGACGAAGATACAGATGAATGAGAATATCATTATAGAGTGTCATAGTAGATATTTAATATTATTGATCCGACACTCTCCTTATTTGTATTTAGTAAATTTTACAATTGGACAATTAATTTCTTTATCGTATTTAGTAAACTTACAATAATTTCTTTATGTAATGAAATAGAATTTTGAACCTCCTTTTACATCTAGTAAATTTTTGAATCTCCTTTTGCATCTAGTAAATTTACCATTAATTTTTATCTAATGGAATGGAATTTTGTTATTAATATATTACAGTAATATATTAGATATTCTGAATTATAATTAAACAATCGATTTCTTTATCTAATGGAATGGATTTTTGTTATTAATATATTACAGTAATATATTAGATATTCTGAATTATAATTAAACAATCGACTTTTGTTATTACTAGAATTTTGTTAATTAGCGACTTTTAAAAAATCCTCCTCGAATACTCATTCTTCAAACTTAATTTCACTAAACATAAATGACATTATATATTAAAATTTAATTTAGCATAATCAATAATAACGTCATTATTACTAAAATTGGACGAGTTATAAGACCCCGCAGGCCAATTAATTTATCAAATATCATATTTAAAAAAGATGAATATTTTGCTTTAACTAAATGAAAAAGACATTGTTTTCGAACTGCAATGGAAAAACATTGCCTGTGTAATTTTAGTCTAAAACAAAAATATTAAAGCATGTTTGATTTACTTTTCTTTTTAATTGTTAAGAATAATTTTAAAAATCAATTTTGAAAATTTGATTTTCAAAATAAGGTAAAAAACTTATTTAATAATTTTATTTTAAAAAACTATTTTAAACAAAAGAATATTGTATAAATAGCCACAAAAAATCATGACAACAATTGAAAAATAATTTTAATAATAATAAAAATGAGTAATTTAAATAAATATTAGATAAAACATTAATACTTAGTAAAACAGAAAATTATAACAGAAAATACCCTTTATTAGTTTTGATTTTTTTTTAGTTTTAAAAACTAAAAAACAAAAATAATTTTCAACAACAAATTTAACAAAACAATTTCCAAACAAATTGAAAACTATTTTTAAAAAGAATAATCAAAGACAGGTGAACATAAAGTTGAAAGTACAATGGCAGAAGGATACCCATGAAAACTCTTGTCGTGAGTGGGTGATCCAAACATAGACTTAGATGTTGTGGAACTATCATTCACCGTCAATAGAAGTATTGAGATCATTCAAGTATTCCTAACTCGTGAAGCAGGATCATAAGATTGCTTCCTTCAGTAGTTATCGTAATATCAGTAAAAGTATATATTGGCAAATGTAAATGAATGCAGAAATTTGCATAAACGGGCAAATAAACTTAAATCTAACACATTGTTCTGGAAAAAATCATCTCCCAATATTCATTGTAGGCATAGATTAATGTATAATAGGCCAAAATATTTGTTTTCCATCAAACAAACAAGATCGAGTCAGAAAAACTCGGAAAAGTCAGGACGCTTGATTATTACCAAGAACATTTTGTATAGTAAATATTCTCCAAAGCTCACTGTGATGCTTTTACCTGCAAATATTGAAAGCATTCAAGTAAACGAGCACTACAATTTTGACACCTCAAAAATAAGATACATATGGGATTAACATGACAGTATACTAGTTCCATGAATACACAAAACTGGCATATCAATGTGATTAGGATTAAATTTCCCTTGAAGTGTTTTCAAACATAACTGTTCTATAGCGTAGTATATTTTTTTGGCTAATATGATAAAACTCACCGCGAGAAACATACTACAACAATTGTTATTGATATAAATTAAATATTATATGGTACAAAAGCAGTTGAGAAATATGAATAACACTTGATCTGATCCATTGAAGTGTTACACCCCAAAACTGATCTGATTATTATCTTGCCTTACGATATTACTTATAAAAATAAACAACCTTCAGTGTCAACAAAGTAGAAGTACTAAACTTTCAAATGAAAAATGCTAAAGTTTATTCAGATAGAATAAGAATCCAAAACAAAAATGAAGTTTTATCATCTAAATTATAATTCTCCATCCAACTTTCTGTATAGGAAGAATTTTCCCCAAAACTATGGATATATTGTGCAGAACACGTGCACGAACTAAAACAATGCAAATATTTTACAATGGTATTCAGTTGGAAAAAACTCTTCTGACTGCTGGCAGAGCAGTATTGCGGAGTTATAACAAACAATGTCAGACAGATATCAATAATATCAACTACAAGCACAGCACAGAGACTTCAAAATAATATCAATACTTATTAATTGTGTAATGTCATACCATGACACACACATACACACCCATGTTGAATATTTGACAAACATTTTGAATACAACTGCCTGCATTTAATAATTTTTTTATTATGTTTTAAACTTCTGAACCAATACAAATGAGAGTATCATAATAATTACGTAATCTGGAGCATTTCATAAAGTCTACAAAGACTTATGCTCACTTTTTAAAAATCAATTATTTATTTTGATTTAAGATATATGTTTTGTATTAAATATTATTTCCATATTGATGCTAATCATACCTGTAATGTCTTATAAAATTTTACAATTTTCCATATCTCATGTTTGCGTGGCATTGCACCCAAAAAACTATCTCATGTTTGTGTGGCATTGCGTCCAAAAAACTGTTTCTAAGCTGTAAAAAATAGACAGGAATTGAGAGTACCTCTTCTTTCTTGCCCTTGCCTCCTGTGAAGAGCTTGTATCCCCCATAGAAGAGTAGTCCCCAGCCAGCTAAAGAGACAATCACAAACTGCAGGCATGAAACAACCAGACCAGAGAATGTTCACACACATTATTTTCAAATTCCAAAACAATAAATCAATCATCTCATCGCAAAAATTAACAATTCAAATCAACTGGGTGCAGTAGATCTTCAAAACACAAAACAAGAGACTCACGTGCTCTTCCTTCCATTTAGACGGGCTCATTGGGTCTTTCCAGAGTGCAACTTTGGCAGGTCCATGGTGATCTACAACAATCGAACATTAAATGATTAAATCCGCTCCATTCCACATATGGCACTATACAAAGACCTAAAACAAATAAAACAAATCCCCTTCGCAGAATACAAAAAAAGAAACAACAAATATCAGTTGACTGAACAATATCAACTTGAGTTCATTAAGTTTCATTACACTATCAAAACTAAAGAATCCTTGCTATTTGGATTATCATGTTATTGGTGTAAATTATTTCAGTTGTATTGGTGACTAAAACGAAACATCTTTAATGCAGATTTCCCAGAGTTTTTCTATACCCACAATAATGCTTACCCGTAAGATCATACTCAAGGGTCCAAACTCAGTTCTACTAACACCATCAACAAATCTACAAAAAATCATTGTTTTATTCCATCATCGTTAGACATGTAACCAAGATTGAAGACCTAGATTAGTTTTAAAAAAGTTTAATTGATTAATTTAAATATTTTTCACACCATTTTTCATCGTGAATATCCCTTGTACATGCCACATTAAAAATTATTCAAAACCATACTTTCTAATCTGATCCAACATATTCCCATCATATAACATTTCCCCAACAGTGCTTTCCACAGCGCCTCCGATTCCTAGGTTTTGGCAAAAACTAGCGGACGCACAACAGAAAGCGAAACGCACAGCGCAGAGGCTTCGATTTCGATAATAGCGAATGCACAAAGTGAAATAAACTGATTCATGGGGATTTGAAAAAATGAAAAAAGAACAATGGGAAAAGGTTGATTTGAGAGAGTCAATTGGATGGAGAAATTACCAGCTGCTCCGGCGAGTCCTCGGAGGTGGATGTGTTGAATGGGCGTCTTGGAAGAGGAAAGACCAATGCGGGTTAGGGATGCGGCTCCACGAGCAAAAGAGGCCATGGTGGTTTAATGTTGGTAGCGAGAGCGAGGGCACAGTGTTGTGTTGTGGTGCTGTTGAAGCTATTAGAAGACGGAAATCCCCAAAGGGGCGCTATTAAAACGGCAGCGTATTTGTCTCTTTTCCATTTTTGACTTTTGACTCTACTAAACTTCTTATAGCAACAAAATATAAGAAGGTACAACAAATTGAATTCATATAGTTTGAAGAAATTGGATAAGAGAAGAATTATATAAATTAAAGCATAGAATTTGATTTAAATTAATTTATTTTTTATTTAATAAGATTTTATAAAGAACTTTTTAAATAAGATTAATAGTACATGTTTTAACAAAATAAACGAGTTCCATATGATAATCCATTAAAAAATTGCGTAGAAAATTGATTAATTTTTAAAATAATTATCTAAAATTTATATTTATCAATGTATTATTGATTAGAGTAATGTTAAGTTGATTCATTGGAGTAATGTTAAGTTGATTCATTGGAGTAATGTTAAGTTTAGATTCTTCAGGAAGTCTCGAGAATTTTGTAAATAAAAAAATATAATCACGATAAAATTAGAATATTTAATAGGTGGATTAATGATTAATAATTAAAATTTATTGTAGAATAAAAAAATTGTTTAAAATTTTTATAAATTTAGAATAATGTCAAATATTTTTTTATATTAGTTTATTAATCAATTATTATTTTATAATTGAATATTATTTCAATATCTTTCTTGATTAAAAAGAATTCAGATAACTGATGAGAATAATCCTTAAAATTCGCTTGATTAAGAAGATGCCTATTAAAATATTTCTTGCCCATATAAATGAAACAATATTCTCTTCTAAGTCATTTATCAAAATATTCAATTGCAATGATGAATTATTAAATAAGTAAAAATGAAATTTTAATAATAATATTTTCATGTTGTCTCCTTTACACTTTTTTTCATCACCCATCGATACATGAAGAATTCTCTTTTTTATTTATTATTAAAATAATTACTAACATAAATATAATATTATTTTATTTATGTAGCATTCTAAAATTAATATGCATTTATTCATATAAATGCTTCCACTAAATAATATTTACAATGTTCCTACGAAATTCCTCGTCCATAATGGACCAAATCTCATCTAAGAGGGTGAATACCATGCTTGTAAACCTTTCACGTAGTTTTTTCTTCTTTGGCACCTCTCACACACATGTGAGTGAACCTCTTATGCATTACACTTCTAATGTGCCTCCCATTCACATGTTGGCGTAACCACACCCGTGTGAGGGTTTATCAAAGATTGCTTTTTAACTTTCTTTCATGATTATATATTATTTATTTTAAGATGTAAATGTAACTTTTTGTAGGTGGAAATAAGTCCTAAATGTCTTCCATTGGACTTACCTTTGCACGTTCCAAAAGATGAACTTTGCATGCAACAAAATACAAACACTCCTGCAATATCTATACATTTCCTTTTCATACTTCCCATGTTTTCAAAAGCTTCATCTACCAACCCATAACACACATAAACCACAACAAATAATTAAATATCTAGAAGAATAATGGTATAATGTGATTAAACATCTTTATTAAAATCCATTTCAAAATTTCAACCAGTTCATTCACAATTCAATAAGAACCACTACTAACTTACTTGACATTGCAGTAATATATGTCAACATATGGGTTGAGGTGGCCTCAGGATAATGTGTCCATGAGACAATGCCCAGTGATACTTGGAACCCACATACCCAAGAACAAAATTATTAGTCTTCTTTGTTGCTTTGTGCGTCTTCACCATCCATGAACCATCAGAATCTCCCTCGCTTCTTGCCATGTACTTGAATGAAACCACCCTACCCAATTCTCTCCAATTCCATGTTCCTGGAAGAGAATGTGGTTTCTGATTCTGGATCAATCGAGTTCTTAGAAGCCATTGGTGTTATTTCCTAACTCCCTCTAACTCCTCTGTTTTGTTTTGTAAGAATAGAGAAAACATAGCATGTTCTATTACCGATGAAGGTTAGCTTCGTCCTCTCTCTTAACCTTTAGTTGCCTATGTCATCATCATTGAGAGTGACGGTGATTTATTTTTTAATTCCAAAAAACTCACCTTATTCTTTACATCATTCACTATAATTTTTCTTCTGTTCTTTTAAAACCATAAATAGTTTAAGAAAATGAGTCTACAAAAGTTGATCCAATATTTATCATTAAAAAAACAATTAATAAATTATTTTTAAGAATAGTCGTAATTTGTTTTTATATATGATTTTTTTTACATAAAAAAATAACGAAACTAATCACGTGAAAATTTATTTTTAATTTTGTTACTAAAATATTTTTTAATCCTTAGAATTTAAGTCAAATTTTCTTTTAATCATCTAAATATAAAATGAGTTTTTAATTATTTAAATTTAAAATTGGTTTTCTAGTTCCTCAAACATTGTTAAAATCGTTTTTCCTAAATTAAACATGTGCTAATTATGTTAACAAATTTTCAATATATATTTTTTGAAATTAAAATGGTTTATTTTTAAATTAAAAGACTTGAAAAATCACGTTTTAATTTGGGAACTAAAATACTAAAATAATACTGATAAATTTGGAGGAATAAATAAATCATTCTTTATATTTAATGAAATTAAAATATTGGTTTTACTAGATGAAAAAAAAATCACTTTTAAATTTAGGAGATTAAGATAACTTTTATCCAAATTTTAGGGATTCAAAAGTATTTTAAAAATTAAAAATAATTTTTCTTGTTATTATTTTATAAACATGTACCACTATTGACATAAATGTTTGTTAGAGATATCAATTAGGGATAAAAATGATTTTCTAAAATTTAGAAACTACAAATAAATAATATAATTTTTAATTTGAATCATTAAAAAAAATTCTCAAATTTAAGGAACCAAAAATATGTTTAAAAGTTTGAAAATACAAATTTAATACTACTACCTCTATCCAGATGAACTATAATTAACTAATAAATTGTGAATTACAGTCTTTTATTTTTAAGACTTTGAGTTACTTTTCAGCGGTTATGTTTATCATCAGAAATCAATATAAAATAAAGCTAGAGATTTGAAGTGCTTTTGAATAAATATAATATTTTTAGAAAATTATTGTATGAACAAATGCTAATTCTATGTTAGCAGCCTTTGTATACAAATACTTCTTAGCTGGTCACCATTGCTGATCTACTATTTACTTGAATACCTACCAAGGGATCTTTGGCAGTAATTGCAGTTTCTAGTATTTTTATTTTCAAGATTGGAGTTGAATGAGACTGCATACTAGGCTCCTTTCCTTCAGCTGTCAACACATAGTGAAAACCAATCAATAAATAACTGAATAAAAAAAATTAAATTATCTGAATCTTCTAATTTGTTACAAAATTCATTGACACAAATAGAAGCAACCTTCTTTACCTTCCATCTAAAAAGATAAACACCATGAAAAAATAATTAAGAATATCAGTAAGATATCAAGAGGAATTCAAACCATATTTTCTTACCTCAAGGACACACATGTCGTGGAACACATCATTGAGTTCCTGCAAGAGCAATTTCTCTTGGGCAACAATTCTTGCTAAATTTGATATCAACTCAGATGTCTTATTAGCCTGATTATGAACAAATCTCAATTTCAATTTCAATTTGAAATTCTCACCAGATAAATATCAGTATAAGTGTAGAGTTACCAAACATACCAAGGGTGAAAAACTAGATAACACTGACTCTATGGAATCTGTTAGATCAGATGCATACCGCTGAGCAATGGATGCCAATTGTATATCCACCTGTACATATAATAGTGAGAAAGAATTCTCTGAATGCATATTTTAAGGTAAGTCCAAATTTACCTTTGCCCCTTCCGAGAGAGGAACTCTGCATATAACAGAATGTAAACATTCTTTCATTGTGGTAACTGCAGCTAGGTGCTGCCTTTCCATACTTCCCCACGATTCCAACATCTTCATCTACCAACCCATAACACAGATGAAGTAAAGAATTCAAACTCTAAAATAATAATGCCATATTGCACATATCTCAATTAGAATCTGTTTTAATCAATTGAATCTTAAACACTTACTTATTTCACTGATATGTGTCAGTCAATTGAATCTTAAAAACTTAGTTATATCACATATCTGTTTCAATCAATTGAATCTTAATTAATTTGATACGCTACTACACTCACTTACCTCTTTCCATCAAGTGAATCTTAATCATTTACTTATCTCACTGATATGATTCGATCAATTGAATCTTAATTAATTAGATACACTACTACACTCACTTATCTGTTTCAATTGATTGACTCTTAATTAATTAGATATACTATTACAATCACTTACTTGAGAATGCAGTAGAAAATTTAGCTTCATCTTAAGTTTTTCTCTTTCGAGCTCGATCTTCTTTCGCATTACTGAATGCCGCAACTTGGTCAGACCATCCAAAACATTTATTAAATTGCTCTAAACACGTAGATAACAATTCACAAAAACATTAACCTCGTTAATCATCCAGGATAGAAACATGTCATAGAACTAGAATGGTCTCTGAATCAAACATCTCTAACAGAGATAAGTACTCCAATTTAGTGGCAAACTATACAAAATTCAGGGATGTGAGCAATACCTCAGTCTGAAGAGATATGGAGTGATTTACAGCTTGAGCTCTAGCATTTGCGAACCGCCATTGGATCAATCGGTTTTGAAGCAGACGCAACTGATGAACGACTTCATTGATAGAAGAAGATTTTTTAGTCCTAAAGAAATCAAAACCCATGCTCAGAATTTTCTCCACTCTCTTTTGTGGAGGCCTCATGCTCGAAAAAGACAATTGCTTATCCTTGCTTTCTAAAGACAAAGGTGGTGATCCTGATCTCCCAGGGGACAATGCCCACTGAGACTTGGAACTCATGTACCCAATAAGGGAATTAGCCTTCTTCCCCGTTTTTTGTGTCATAAACTTCTTCATCATCCATGAATCATCACAAGACAAAGGGTCTGAATCAGAAGCTTCTCCTCTTCTCCCACTGCCACACACTGCCATGTACTTAGAAGGAACATCTCTACCCAATTTCCTCGAACTGAATGTTCTTTGCAGGGAAACAGAATCCAAACTCGTATTTTCGGATTCCGAGTCAATTGGGTTCTTATCGCAATGAAAATTTCCCTTAAAGGTATTCTCGTCAAGAGAGAGTCTCCCAGGATCAAGATGAGAAATTGTTTTCTTCACCACCCGAGAAGAAGATTTTACGGAGAAATCATTCTTCGTGGACCTACCAGCAACGTCTTGATCTTGATCTTGATCGTTTTCTTCTAAGAAATTGTTGTTGTTTCTGTACTCCCTACAGCTCCTCTGTTTTGTGAGAGCAGAGAAAACAGAGTCTGTTCTGTTTGTGGGTTTCTGATTGTGATGTTGGTGGTTTTCTTCCCTTTCTTTGAGCCTCTCATTGCCAATATGATAAGCGAGAGTGGTAGAGTCTTTTCTCGTGGGGCGGTTGAACCGGCGGAGCGGAGAGGATGAATCTGGTGAAGCGGTCGAGTTTGGTGACATGAACCGGGAACTTACGAAACGGGTTCTGCGTTTGGGAGAATAAGGGGAGACAGAGTCATTGGAATCGCTTTTCATTGGAAGAAGAATAGGAAACAAAAATTTTAGACGAAAAAATGGGCTGGAAAACAGAACAGAGCATAGGCAGCAGTGAGACTGTAACAGTGAGCGCATGAAAATGGCGCGGCAGAATATTATTAGAGAGAAATGCGCCGGCACATGTGAAAGGGTTCCTCTGTTTCCTTCTTTCAGTTTTAAATTATTCATTTAATAATCATCCATGTTCTTGATGAGATAGACAAAAAAAAAAGAAATTTTTCATAAGGAAATTTCACCCTCTTATAACTTAATTAATTGTTTGTTGCAAGCAATCATTAAGGTAATCATCATAACAATTACTTCTGAAAATTATAAAATAGGAAAAAGAATGTCTTACTTTGATATTGAAGTGTGTAATATTGAAAATATAGGTAATTGATTTTTTCTTTTAATTCTAGAAAGTTAGTATTATGAATGAATTGTAAACATACTCTTTTTTAATATATAAATAAAAATAGTTTTGTTAAATTATTTTAACAAGTATTTTTATTAATATATATGTTTTAAAATTGCAAAATAATATTAATTACTTTTCTATCAATTAATTTACACTTATATATTTATACTGAAGTAGAAATGAAAAAGAAATGTCATAATTATTTTATTAGAAAAATTAATTATATTTCTTGATTTATCTATATAAACTTTAAAAGAAAAAAAATCATAGATTTTTAAATTATGACTTAACCTTTCTATCTATTTTAATAGTTATTTCTAAATAGAACGTTAATATTTAAAAACAGTCTCATACCACAATACAAATTATTAATCATAAATTTAATTATAAGAAAATTATAGATTAACAAATATTCATTTATTATAAATCTTAGTTATATAAATAAAAAAATTGTACTATAATTGCAAAATTAAAATAGTAATTAGGTTGAAAATGTTAACTTAGAGTGGCATTGTTGTAACTTACACACCCAAAAGAGAAAGCAATAGAATCATAGGTAATATCGATAAGGAGCTGATATTGTAGCTTTTATGGAACAATAAAAGAGCATATTTAAAGGGTGTAGTAAGTTAGAAAATGGTGGTTGATAGAAGGAAAGTGATGTTTTGTTTCAACAAAATGGTGAAACTGTGAAAGCAAGGAGCCAAGTATTAGCCAACAATGGACTGCAAGTGTTTAGATCAGAATTCCGCCAGCTTCTGTAATGCCTGCTCTTGTTTTTAACTTTGGCATTTTAACCAACTTATTTGTAACTTCCAATTATTATTCCCCCTACATAAAATATAACAAACACAAACATTTGTATTTAATGGTTAAAAAATAAAACTTTGGATTTGATGAGTAGGTAGACCAAAATCAATTCAAACTCATCTACAAATGCTCCTAATATTTCTATAAGGCAATCTTTAAAGAAACAAAAATGAAAAATATTAGCTAGTGATGTTTATAATCAATTAAAGTTGAACAAATATTATGAATCTAACCCAACAACAATTTGTTTTCAACTTTGGATTTCACGACAGTTGAACTAGAGAATAATTCAAACCTATCTACAAACACTCCTTAAAAGGGAAAAGCGTAGTTAAAACTTGATTGAAAATTATTTAAATAAAATTGAATAATATGAGAATGAAATTGACATAAAACTACATAAATAATTGTTTATAACAAACAAATATAGTTATTCTAATTTATAGGCATTAAGGTTTACTAATTTAATAATGATTTAATACTTTGATATGTACCCAGTTTTGTTGGAAATTCTTAAATCTTTAAATTAAATTTTGTAATTAAACTCTTAATCTTCTACAATTCCTAGTGTTAATAGAATCACTGCAAAATATATTTTTCACAAATGATTTTAAACTCAACCTAAATATAATTAATCTAAAATATTAATTTAGTTAGACATTTTAGTGTAGAAACAATCTATATAATTCAAAATATATGTTCGATATTTGTTGTGTTTAAAAACTCGTGGATTTAATATAATCATACTCTCATAAACCAAATTAGTATGTGACAAATTAGTTGGAAGAAAAATATGACAAAAACAAATAACATTATAGTTGCACTAAGATTAATTCTTATGATAACATGAATACTAAGTGGAACTTTAATGGAAATAAAGTATGATACCTCTAATAGAAAGTAGAAGAATGATACCCTAACTTTGTAACTCATCATACCAGCTAAAATATCAAACAATTTGTACTTTATTCCAACACCTAAATGAGCATTTCTTTTATTGGAGATGTTGTAAACTCTTACGTTAGGCTAAACAATTATGGAATTAACATAAGATAAGGCAAAGTCTTGTTGAACAGAATAATTTTTTAATTCCCTAACATTAATCTAAATAAATTTGAAATAGTGAAATTCACCTGATTTTTTCATGAAGCATTGGCATAAATCTTTAAAACTTTGATGCCATGTTAATGTGGATGTTCGACCTTTGATTACAACTCTCAAACTTTTCAAAACAAAAAAATGTATCAATGATGATTGATTACTTTACTGTATGTATGTATCTAACTATTGGCTACTACTGATTATCATGTCTAATCTTTGTGGAGTTGGAATTATATATGGCAGTGGAAAATCAATGAAAATTACACTGTTGCAATATAGGGTGAGAATAATCCACGTATTTTTCCCACAGAGGCTTGTACTTCTCCATCCCAATCTTCAACCACGGTTTGGAGTTCCCATTGAAGTGTAGAACAGCCCCTCTTTCTATCAACTGAGGATCAACATTTGTGTAGCCAAAACCCAACACATGCCATGATGGATCCAAGGGCTCAGTAAGCCCATAAAAGGTTAACAAACCAGGTGGCAAGGTACCAAGTTTCCACAATGTCCTGTCTGCATTTTTTTCTTGCCAATAGTGGTAGATTCCGGTCACATTCCTATTCCTCCATTGAACCAAATCAAACACATTCATCCCAAATGCCCATCCACAAGCATCAGGGTCAAAATGTGGTCTTATTAGAGGGTGTGAGTAGTTCAAATATTTATGATATCTATGAAATGTCTCCATGCATGTCTCAACGGCTCCATTAACATTGCCATTCAAATCAATAGTAAAAAGATCAGAAAGATCCTTCCGAACCACAACATCGTCATCCAGGAACACCACCTTCTTCAGCTCAGGAAAAACTTCCGGGATGTAGAACCTCAGGTGGTTAAGCATGGACAGATATTTCGGATTCCTGAACTTGATGGGAGTCTTGCCTTCATCACTGTTGCCTTTGAAGTAATAGTTCTGTATCTCTGAGTCTTGAAGCTGCTTAAGCACGGGAACATATGAAGCATTTAACCAACTGAAGTCTTCAAACCTTTGAACTTCAACTGTCACCCCTCGAAAATCGTTCAAAGAAAACCATGCCTTCATTGCAGCATAATTTATTTCATCTGTGACAAGGTGGAAAACAATCTTATCTGGATTTTTGGAATTTATTGAAGTAGAATTGATCACAACTGAGGTAGCTAGGATGTTATCCGAAAAGACACAGAAGTGGTAAAGATCATTATCCTTCAATTTCATGTCCACTTGTCTTTGGTCCTTCAAATTCTTCTGCAAGCTAAGATTCGTGAACCATTTAGATGTCAACCTGACACCAAGGCAATATAGGCTCTTTGGGACTTCTTCAGCAGCTATTTGTCCATATTTCGAACTCTTCTCACTTGCAGAATTCATCTGTTCTTCAAGAGCTTGAATTTTTCCTTTCAGTCTCATGATAGTGCTCGCACTGTCATAATGGAGCTGCTGGGCCTGAAATAGTAATAATGCCATATCACGAATAGCATATTCTGATTCCTTTACTGTTAATGGAGTACGCCTCGTGGCAGCATTTGAGAGAAAAATCTGTGAAATGCGGATCTGAGAAGTTAACTCCCAAGCAAATTGGTGGTTATTACTTTCTTTGGCAATTACAACAAAAGCTTTTGCTAGTGAGATTTGATCATTAATTTGTCTGGTCACAGACTCAGGGCTTAACATCTCGTCCGTAACATTGAAGCCTTCAATAACCCTGTCATGTCTGAAAGTTCTCTGCACAACAGGATACAATAACTTATCAGTAAACAAAGGACAATAACCATAAGGCTTACCTTCCCCCGTCCACCAAGAGCTCAAAATTATCACAATATTTCAAATGTATAATATGAAATCCAGTATGACATAGAAACGGATTCATTATCATTAAGTTCATGAACTTTTTTAAATGGTCTAGACCTTTTCATTTCTAGCCATGTTTGACTATTCAGTATTCACTATAGCAATGCAATATTAGAAACAAAAATATAATAAAACCTTTATAAGCAATGAATTTTCTATGCATTATGAATATATAACAAATCTTAAGACAAGCACAACGTTGGAAACAACACTATTCCTGTTATAGAATGGAAAAGTTTTCCAATAAGCTTGGTAGGAACTAGGAACTAAGAACACAATCCATATAGTTATATATCTTTTGTTATCCAAACTACTATATTTGATTTAATACACCCCTTAATCCTACCCCCTTCCAAGCAATACATGGATGAAACACATGAAGAACGCTGAACAAAAATATTCTGTCATGGTTTAAACTAGTCATTTATACTGCACAGTGCACGCAAATACATACATGTACACGCCATTGATGAATCCAACAAAACAAAGATGACCTGAAAGTAATGCACATTAGAAAGACAACATAGATACAGAAACACACAAATCAATTATTCGTAATTCACCATTATCATTATTCCTAAGTCACTAAAAACTAAATTGATTAATATATACTTCAAAACCTCAAAACCAATTTGCATACTTTTTTCCGCACAACAAGACTAGAAAACTATTAACTGACTTAAAAAGAAAAAACACAAACAATTAAAAAAAATAAAAAGATGGTGATTAAATAATCTATACCCTTGAGAATTGGTAAGTAGAGTCAATATTGGTGGAGCCTTTGGTGAGAATATAAATAAAGAAAAGAAGCAAAACGCTACAAGATGTCCACCACACCACATCCTGGAGCCTCCTCCTCCCTGGCCTTCGAAAATCTGCGCTCCTTCGCCTCATAATTGGAGTTCAAAAGAGAGATCTACTGCTGGGTTTGGATCTTTCGGGAATATAAAGAGCGGAACTTTGAAGAAATCTTTGCGTTTCAGTTTCCCCCAATGGCTTGATCAGTGAGTGAGAGCACAGATAAAGAGAGAAGGAGACAGAAACTATAACCGTTGGGTTGGGAATGGGAGAGAAGTGAGTTTCTGTGATTCTGCTATCTCCCTATTCGATACAAATTCTCTTCCTACTAACAAAAATAGTATCTGCCACCTACGCATTCTTTAAGATTGTTAATATTATACAATTTTTAATTTTTGGTTTAAGAAAACTAATAGTTATGTACTGTTAGTATAAATTGTCAAATATAAAAAATAGTTACATTAATTTGGTGTTTTTCCCCTATTTAATGTAACTAGTACCATTGTCTTACATTATAGATATTAGGTTACATATTTATATTCTTTTGCTGTGTAACATTAGGTTACATATTACTATTAAAAAGTGACACATGTATGCAATAGATACTGGACACTTTTCCAATACAATGACTTGAAAAAAAGATACCACCAAACGTACAAAAAGTCAAAATTATGATAGGTGGTGAGAGAAAATAAAATGTCCAAATCACCCCATGAAAAATGCAATTATTTAATAGGTAATTTATTTGCAATCTTATGTTATCTTCAATTAATGTAATTCCAAATCAAAATTTTCGTGTAATCTATAATAAATTAAGGGCACTCCTTTGCCCTTGTTTTCTGAAAAGCCTAAATGGATTCTAATTACAGGACAGTGGTATCTGTTTACTTCTGTCAAAATGGTATCGCATTTACATCTCAGTGGTATATATAACCTTCTTATCACATCATTTTACCCAAAACAAATTGTCATGCCTAAGGACAGTTAGTGTTTTTTTTTTCTCACCTCAAAATTGGCTTTCGTAGAACTTTTTTTTTTTTTTTTTTTTTAATGTAGTGAAATTTTATCATTTCGAAAGCGTTGAAACTTTTGATTTCGGAAAGTGTTATTTGAAACAGGATTTTTTTTTTCAAAAATAATTAATTTCCAAAATGAATCCTTACTATGCCTAATTTTAAAAAAAATAATTAACTGATGCGTATTTACAAAGGTTTTTAAAGCCATAAATATCTTAATAAGTAATATTTTTTTCTGCAATTAAATTATGTATTCTATAAAATTAATATATGAGATTTCAGAAAACAATCCAACTATTGAAGGAGAGTTACAACATAAGCATCATTTGTTCTCTAATATGTTAAAAAGGTTTTCTGAGTTAGGCATAATAAATTTCTAGATCCATCCATGCATGATATATTTATCGGTACAAAAATATTAATTGATAGTTAGATTTATAATAATTCATTTTACTTTTAATTAATTCATTGTATAAAATTAGTTGTTGAATGTTAAGTGGTAAAAAATTGATATAATTATGTCTTGAATTGTTATAAAACCACTTAATTTATGTTAATTCTAATATATTTTTCTCCTAATATAGGATGAATTTGAGAATACTTTGATACAAGAGTAAGAAGCATAATTGTCAGCATAATTGGAGTAAAATTGAAAAAAAGAAGAGTGCTTAAGCGAATGAATGATGCAAGACCCGACCCAAATTCTCTTATAAAAAGATAAGTTGTGTTTTGAGAAAAGCAAGCAGTCTTGGAGGAGAGGAGGCACGACTACTGATAGGGTTTTGTCTAATCTTCATCAATTCTTCATCAATTGGAGCATTGTAACGGCCAACATGAGTGACTAACTTCATTCTCTTAGGATTTGGTGCACTTCCTTTGAATTCTTTTGTATCATGGTGATATTTTGAGATATTAATATATGCTTTGATGTTGTTATTCTTATCCTCTATGCTTTGAAATGATTTATTCTTGATTGTTTGAGGTATGATTGGAAAATATATCTTGAACCCTAGATCACGGTAAGAATATTTGTTACGTTAATTGTCAGGAATGGAATAAATGTATCAATTGCTTAAACACCCTAACCCTAATGCAGGAAAATCTGTTAATTGTGTGAGGAATCAACATTTATTAGGTTTTCTTATGAATTTCGTGTGTGAGGAATCAACATGGATGATTTGAGTAGGTGACATCAACATTGTTAGGTTAATTGACGTTCTTAATTGACATAGTTATTACAAAAGAGGGATAAGAAAGGAAGCAAATCCTAAGTACTTTTAATTGATATTTTCTCAACAATAACAGTTCTTTGTCATTTAATTTCAATTCAACTCTTTATGCAAAACTCATTCTGTTTTAATCTACTCAGTAAGCATAAAATTGGAAATTTCCATTGAAACCGTTCCTCGTGGGATCAACTTTTATTTAATCGAAATACTATACTGCGATTGATAATTTGGTACGCTAGCCAATAATTCAACAAGTATTTCTAGCGCTGCTGTCGGAAACTGTGTTCTTTGAGAATTCTTTGTTTAACTTATTGAGTATTTTATTTTTATTTCTGTTTTTTTATTATTATTATCATTATTATCATTATTATTATCATTATCATTATTATTATTATTATTATTATCATTATTATTATTATCATTATCATAATTATTATTATTATTATCATTATTATTATCATTATTATTATCATTATCATTATTATCATTATTATTATTATTATTATTATTATTATCATTATCATTATCATTATTATTATTATTATCATTATTATCATTATTATTATCATTATCATTATTATTTTCATTATTATTATCATTATTATTATTATTATTATTATTATTATTATTATTATTATCATTATCATTATTATTTTCATTATTATTATTTTCATTATTATTATTATTATTATTATTATTATTATTATTATTATTATTATTTAGTTTGTGCTAACATTTGCTTGAGTTACTCTTTTGATTTATGCGTTTAAGAGGACACGTATCTTTAGAAGAAGGGAAACTCAAGAACAAACTACAAAAGAATCTGCTAATTCTTCCTTCACACTTGATTTACTAGACCCAATTATAGAAGATATGGCGGAAGAATGAGCAAATATGAATTCGAATCCAGATCAAAATATAAATCCAAATCAAAACTCAAATGCAAATCCACCTAGAAGAACTCTTAGAAATTGTGTTATGCAGCAAGGTCTAAGACATTTTTCCAGCATTGTCATTCCAGATGATCATACATTGCAGATGAATCTAGCTTTCTTAAGCTTGATTAGTGCTCATCAATTCACTGGATTGGATCATGAAGACCCTTATATTCATTTGTCTACTTTTTATGAGTTGATTGGTACCATAAGATTTAGAGCAGCAAATCTTGAATCTGCATATTTGATATTATTTCCTTTTTCTTTGGCAGGTAGGGCAAAAGAGTGGCTGAAAGTACATCCTAATCAGAGTTTGACTAATTGGAGTAGTGTAGAAGAGAAATTTCTGAATAGATTTTTCCCACCATCCCGCTACATCAAAGCAAAATCTGACATCACTTCTTTCAGACAAGGAGCAGAAACAATTTTGTGAAGCATGACAAAAATTTAAATCACTGTTGAGAAGTTGCCCAAATCATGGATTTGATGACGTTTCTCAGTTGAATATTTTCTATACTGGCTTGCGACACGATGCAAAGATGCTATTAGAGGCTGCAGCAGGAGGATCCATGTTGGATGTAGAAATTGATCATGCCACAAGAATTATTGATGCACTAGCTTTTACAGACCAACAGGCCCAACATGATAGACATCCAATTCAAAGGAAGGGAATCCTTGAACTTAACACCACATATGCTCTCTTAGCCCAGAATAAAATTTTGACCCAACAAATTGAAGCATTCAACTAGAAAATAGAGAAATTACCTCAACAAATGCACACAGTACAAACTATTTCTAATCAACAGATGAGTTGTGATTTGTGTGGAGGTGATCATTCAAATGAACAATGCTCTTATCAAGACAACATTCAACAAGAAGAAGCTAATTATATGAGGGCTCAAGGTAGTAGTCAAGGCAAATAAGGTAATTTTCCTAATCCCAATAATTATCAGAATAATTTTGCACAAGGATGGAGAGGGAATCAAAATCAGAATCAGAATCTTGGGTGGAACTAAGGTGTTAGCTCATCTACTAGACAACATGCATTTCAACAACAGTCATATCAGCAACCCCCATATCAACAACAACAACAACATTATCCTTCAATGCCTGACAGAATAAGAAAATTGAAGGATGCTTTAGAAAAATTCATGCAAGACATTATGACTAATCAGAAAAATATTGAGGCAACTTTAGAAAAATTCATGGAAGGCACTATGGCTAATTAGAAAAATATTGAGGCTTCATTCAGAAATATAAAGACCCAGATAGGCCAACTGGCTAAGCAATTATCTGAGCAGCAACAAGAAGGACAATTTTCAGCTAACATATAAACCAACCCTAGGGAGCAATGCAATTCAATAACTACAAGGAGTGGAAAAGTTGTAGGGAAGGGGATTGGTGACAATATAGTTGTTGAAGAAGAAGTTTTGGTAAAAGAAGATGAAGAGCAAGAAGATGAGAATAATAAAGAAAGACATATTCCTAATAAGAAGAACGAAGAGAAGATAGAAAAAGGAGGGAGTCAAAAACTATTTGTAGAGAAGTTACCGTATCCCAAGGCTCCTTCACAGATAGATAAAGAAAGACAGTTTGCAAGATTCATGGATATTTTCAAGCTATTGCAAATTAATATATCATTTGTGGAAACTATGGAGCAAATGCCAACATATGCCAAATTCATGAAAGAGCTCTTAACTAAGAAAAAAAGATTTACTGATGAAACAGTAGAGTTAGAGGCAGGATGCAGTGCTATATTCCAAAAATCATTGCCTCAAAAGTCCAAGGACCCTGAAAGTTTCACTATATCAGTCACAATTGGTGAATTACCGGTGAAAAAATCATTGCTTGATTTAGGGGCCAGTATAAACCTCATGTCATTATCTATGCTCAAAAGAATAGGAGACTTGGAAGTA